TAATTTTGATTAATATATTAATAACTTATTAGCAATATAAAGAATTATCAGGTGTAACACACAAGAGCTTTGCTTTAAGGATTTTAATACATTATGAATATTGAAATACTGTAGGAATCTGTCACAGTACTCAGTTGATGACCCAGGAATCAACCCTTCAATATCCTTATGATGTCACCCACAACTCATAGCAACCCTATGTACAATAGCTCTGAACCTGCCCTATCCTGAGCCAGTCTCTCTCACTCTGCCATACCTAATCTCCATGCCCCAGTTACTTGTCAATACTCCTTAAAAAAGCTAGTAAAATGATAAAAAAAAATAAATAATTAGTGCCTCAACTGCAAGTAACTCTGATTAAATATTGATGAATAAAATGTAATGAAAGACAAAGAATGTATAACTTCTCTTGTCTGAAAAATACTTGGCTTACCAAATCCAAATCAATAACAGACAAATTAATATAACGTAGTACCTGAGTAAACTCAGGCTGTCTGTCTGGTCTTGAACCTTCATCTCGGTAACATCGGGCAACCTGAAAATATCTACAATTGAAAAATACCATTCATTAGTCATGATTCTAGGGAGACACATACTTCTTTCCAAAAGTTTATTGCAATGTAAATTATGCAAGTGATAAAATAATGACACCTACTGGACAAATCAGATACACAACCGACCTATTAGAAGTTAATTGTTGCATATATGTTTTAAAAATATACATAGGCATATTGCCTTTTCGTTCCTTTGGCACCACCATGACGGTCGGCAAGAACAAGTGCCTTACAAAAGGTGGTAAAAAAGGAGCTAAGAAGAAAGTGGTTGATCCATTTTCTAAGAAAGATTGGTATGATGTAAAGGTGCCAGCAATATTCAATATAAGAAATATTGGGAAGACATTAGTCAGAAGGACTCAAGGAACCAAAATTGCATCTGATGGACTCAAGGGTTGTGTTTTTGAAGTGAGCCTTGCTGATTTGCAAAATGACAAAGCTGCATGTAGAAAATTCAAGCTGATTACTGAGGATATTCAAGGCAAAAACTGCCTCACCAACTTCCATGGCATGGATCTTACCTGGGACAAAATGTGCTCCATGGTCAAAAAATGGCAGACCATGATTGAAGCACATGTTGATGTCAAAACCACTGATGGTTATTTACTTCGTCTATTTTATGTGGGTTTTACAAAAAAACGCAACAATCAGATTCGGAAGACATCTCATGCTCAGCACCAACAGGTCCGCCAAATCCGGAAGAAAATGATGGAAATCATGACCTGAGAGGTGCAAATGACTTGAAAGAGGTGGTCAATAAATTGATTCCAGACAGCATTCGGAAAGACATAGAAAAGGCTTGCCAGTCTATTTATCCTCTCCATGATGTATTTGTTAGGAAAGTAAAAATGCTCAAGCCCAAGTTTGAATTGGGCAAACTCATGGAGCTTCATGGTGAAGGTGGTAGCTCTGGAAAAGCTACTGGAGATGAGACAGGTGCTAAAGTTGAATGAACTGATGGCTATGAGCCACGAGTTCAAGAATCTGTTTAAAATTCAGCCTTTTAATAATTACAAATAAAAATTATTATTTCTGAAAAAAACATATACATAGGCATCTTTAGATATTCATGTCTTAGAGTAGAATGTAATTGAGTATATTCTTTTGCTTTGGCCAAACCAAATCATTGCTACTCCATGTATTCTGAATATATAGCTTTTCTGTGCTATTCTCTCCCAACTTCCATTTTCACCTACTGAAATACAGCTCTGTCCAAGAAGGTCCCATTTCAGAAACTTGCCTCTAATATTTCTTCAAACAACATAATTCTAAATTTCTTAGTACCTGACTTAGAACTCTTAATACACTTATATTCTGCTTAAACTGTTTTGCTTTTTATTCTATTCTGCTTTACTAGACTTACTGACTCACTCCTGGAGAGTAAGAACCATCACTATACATTTTTTAATCTCCTCATGTATCTACTAATAGAAAGTTCTGCACATAGTGCAACTCAAAAATATTTACTAAAGAATGACTTCAAATTTTCAGGGTCTTTTATAGCTTTTCTGAACTTTCTCAATTCGCAAATGGTAAGTCAATTCTGAGTTTCCTTTTTTTTCTGTTTTTTTCTCCCCTTTCCCTTTCTTTCTTCCCCCCCCCCCTTCCCTTTCTAAGGAGTCTTGGTGGCACAGTATGTAGTACACTGTGGGCTGCTAATCAGAAAGTTGGTAGTTCAAAAATTCAATAGTTGTTCCTCTGAAGAAAGAGGGGCACTCTCTCCTTATAAAGATTTACAGCCTAAAAAAAAGATTTACAGCCTCAGTAACCTTATGGACAATTGCTGTGAGGCTGAATCAACTCAACAGCAAAGAGTTTGGATTGGTTTGGTTTATGTTTCTAAGAACCACTAGAATGCAGAAAGCTCACCTGTCTAAACCACCAACCATCAGAAGCTGCTTAAACTGTTGGGGACTCTGTGGAAGAGAATAAAATTTTCCAGGTTCCCTTGAAGGCACCACAAATTCTTTTGCACCCTTTGAATGAGAGGGAGAAAGAGACGTTGTTAAAAACAAACACAAGTATAATTAACTGTAGAAGTTGATACTTTTGCCCATTTCTGAAATTAACTGAAGTACAAACTTGTTCCTACAATGACAGAAATAATTTCTTATTCATCTTTGATTCACTGAAAGTATTTTAAATACTGACTTGAGAAATGAGAATTACAGGGGAGAGGTGAGCTGTGGGCAGTGGTATTGTGAATATTGAAATTAATGTCATAAAAGAAAACATGTAGGAATGTTGTTATTTTTAGGTGCTGTTGATTATGACCCATGTTATTGTTGTTATGTTCCATCAAGTCGCTTGTGACTCATAGCAACCCTATGTAGGAGAGCCCTAAACCCTGCCCTATCCTGTGCCAACCTGTCTCCGACACACCTACTCCCATTACCCCAATCACTGAATTGATTCATCTCTTCGCAGGTCTTCCTTTTTTGTGCTGTACCTCCATCCTCCCAAACATGATATCCCTCTCCAAGGACCAGTCCCTCCTTGCAACATGCCGAAAGTATGTCAGACAAAGCTTCAGAATCCTTGCCTCCAAGGAGCAGCCTGGTTTCACCCTCTACAGGATGAACCTGTTTGTTCTCCTAGCAGTCCGTGGTATATTCACACTCTTCTCCAGTACCACAGCTCAGAGGCATCAATTCTCTATCATACTTAGTCATTGTCCAGCTCTCAGACACATAGCACACAATTGCGAAGACTATGGTCTAGATCAGGTGCACCTTAGTCTCCAGACTGACATCGTTGCTCCTCAGTATTCTGGAGAGGTCCTTGACAGCTGACTTTCCTGATGTAATTTGTCTCCTGATTTCCTGGCTGCTGGTACCAAGAGTGTTGATTGTGGAGCCAAGTAAACTAAACTGTTAACTATCTCAATCTCTTCACCATCCATACTGATGCTGCCTAGTGGTGAGAATCTTTGTTTTCTTGATGTTGAGCTTCAATCCATATTGAAGTCTGTAGTCCTTGACATTCTGCAGCAAGCTCTTCAGGTCCTCCTCCGTTTCAGCAAGCAGTGTTGTGTCATCTGTGTAACAAAGATTACTGATGAATCTTCCTCCAATCTTAACGCCACATTCCTCTTCGTACAGCTCAGCGTCCTGGATGATCTGTTCTGCATACAGATTGAAAAGGTATGGAGACAGAATACATCCCTGGCAGACCCCTTTCCCAATTTTGAACCATGCAGTGTCTCCTTGCTCTGTTCTGATGACTGCCTCTTGCACAAGCATAAGCACAATCAAATGTTCTGGGATTCCCATTCTTCTCAGAATCAATCACAGTTTGTTGTGATCTACATAGTCAAAAAAGCCCTCGGATCGTCAACGAAACACAGACAGTCCTCTGTTACTCTCTGTATTCTGCCAAGATCCATCTAACATTAGCTGTATCCCTAGTGTCATGGGCTCTTCTAAACCCAGCCTGCACATTTGGCAGTTCTCTGTTGACGTGTTGCTCCAGTCATTTTTTGGAAAATTTTCAGCAGAATCTCATTTGCATGTGATATTATTTGATAATTTCTTCACTCTGTTGGGCCACTCTTCTTTCGAATGGGAACAAGTATCAATCTCTTCCAGTCAGTTGGATAGCTGGCTGTCCTCCAGATTTCTTGGCACAACTTTGTGAGCAAATCCAGGGCAGCATCTGTTGAAATATGTCTACTGGTATGCCATGCTGTCAACTCCTGGAGCCCCCCTTTATTTTTTACCAATTCTTTCAGAGCAGCTTGAACTTTCTTCTTCATCATCACACGCTCTTGCTCATACGTTGTTTCCTGAAATTCCTCTGTGTCAGCCAATTCCTTCTGGTAGAACGATCCTGTATACTCCTATCATCTTTTTTTTTAATGCTTCTTGGGTACTTTAACATTCTGCCCAAAGCATCCTTAAGTATTGGCACTAGTGGCTTGAATTAGTTTTTCAATTCCTTCAGCTTAAGAAATGCTAAGCGAGTTTGACCCTTTTGCTTTTCTGACTTCAGCTGTTTGCACATTTAATTTTTTTTTTTATTATTTTGTGTGCATGTACCGTCAAATCGGATCTGACTGGTACAGGAGGATATTGCGCCTCCTTCTCCGGCAGAGCATCTGGTGGATTCGAGCCGTGTTCCTCTGGCATTGCAGTGCAGTTTCTTGCCACTAGGCCACCAGAGCTCCCTGCACATTTAATTTTAATACCTTGCTTTGTCATCCTGAGCTGCCCTTTGCAATTTTCCATTCAGCTCTTTAATTTCTTGATTTCTTCCTTAGCTTTGGCTTCTCAGCGCTCTAGTACAATAATCAGAGTCTCATCTGACATCCATCTTGGTCTTTCACAGCTGATGTTGAGCTTCTCCAGAGATTCTTTCCCCAGATGTAATGACACATAGTGACTATAAACAACGTATCTGAAAACTGTCCTATTCTGTATCATCCTCACCCTTCCTCAACCACTAGAGCCCAATGCAGCAGTCATTGTGTCAATCTACCTACTTGAGGTTTTTCCTTTCTTTCACTGACACTTCACCTTTCTGAGCATCATGTCCCTCTCCAAGGAATAGCCCCTCTTAGCAACATGCCCAAAATATGTGAGATGAAGCTTCAACACCTTTGCCTCCAAGGAGCACTCTGGCTGCACTTTCTCTAAGACATATCTGTTTGTTCTTTTAACAGTCCATGAGATAGTCAGTACTCTTCTCCATTGCAACAGCTCAAAGGCATCAGTTCTTCTTCTGTCATCCTTATTCATTGTCGAGCTTTCAGATGCATAGCAAGTGATTGGAAAGACCATGGCCTGAATCAGACTCACCTTAGTCCTCAAACTGACATCATAGCTCCTCAATAATTTGGAAAAGTCCCTGAATGCAGACCTTCTTAGTGCAATATGTCTCCTGATTTCCTGACTGCTGGCACTAAGGGTGTTGACTGTGGATCCAAACAAGATGAAATTGAATGGAAACACATTTGATTTGCAAACTTTCACTCAAATCACAATTTAAAATATTATGGCCAGCATATATTGTTGTGTACCATTGAGTTGGAACCAACCCAAAGCTGACCCTCCATCAGATTTTCAGAGGCAGTTAATCACATGGGAGGAGACTGCCCATCTTTCTCCAATGGAGCAACTGGTAGATTCAAACTGTGTGCCTTTGGGACTGCAGTGCAGCTTCTTACCACTAGACCACCAGAGCTCCCTATAGATAACATATGTTGTTGTTAGGTGTCATTGAGTCGAGTACAAGCAATTCTATGAACAAAAGATCTGAACCCTGTTCTATCCTGTGCCATCCTCATACTCCCTGACACATAGGAGCCCATTATAGCAGTCACCGTGTCAATCCAACTGGTTGAGGGTCTTTCTCTCCTTCGCCAACCCCCCACCCTTCCTAGTATCATGTTGCTCTCCAGGGAATAGCACCTCCTAGCAACATGCCCAAAGTATGTGAGGTGAAGTCTCATCATTCCTCCCTCCAAAAAGCACTTGGCTGTACTCTCTTTAAGACATATCTGTTTGTTCTCTTGGCATTCCATAGAATGTTCAGCACCTCCTAGCAACATGCCCGAAGTATGTGAGGTGAAGTCTCATCATTCCTCCCTCCAAAAAGCACTCTGGCTGTACTCTCTTTAAGACATATCTGTTTGTTCTCTTGGCCTTCCATAGAATGTTCAGTGTTCTTCTCCAACACCACAGCTGAAAGGCATCAGGTAGCAATCGGAAAGAGACTGACTATGGCCCGAATCAGATGCACTTTAGTCCTCAAACTGACATCACTACTCTTCAATAATTTGGAAAGGTCCCTAACAGCAGATTTTCCTAGTGCAATTAATCTTCTTATTTCCTGATTGCTAGTTCCAAGTGTGGACCCAAACAGGATGAAACTGTTGACAGTTTCAATCTCCTCTCCATCCATCATGATATTGCCTATTGATCCAGTGGTAAGAATCTTTGTTTTCTTGACATTGAGATGCAATCCATACCAAAGGCTGCATTCCTAGATCTCCTGCAACATGTGCTTCAAGTTCTCTTCACTTTTAGCAAGCAACGTTGTGCTACCTGCATAACACAGGTTATGGATGAGTTTTCCTCCAATCCTGATGCCACACTCCTTTTCATAGAGTCCAGCTTCTTGGATAATTTGCTCAGCATATAGATTGAATAGATATGGAGAGGGAATACAACCCTGTCACACTCCCTTCTCAACTATTAATCATGAAGTGTTTCCCGCTCTGTTCGCACAACAGGCTCGTGGTACAGGTATAAGTTCTTCATGAGCACCATTAAGTGCTCTGGAACTCCCATTCTTTTCAATGTCAGCCACATTTATTATGATACATACAGACCTTTGCAATGACTTTCAATTTTGTTACTAGATAAAAGAATTTCGTGTATTATTTCTTGCTGAAAGAACTGTTTTCTAAGTTTAGCTATAATTTTATAAATAGAATTAACAAATAGATTACATAGTAATGTTTAAAACTTCTAGTTCTTAATTTTAAGGAACTGATTCATTAATATTTGCATCTCTAAACCTCCCAAGAAGATTTATGCATGATAAAATAATAATGAGTCAATACATTAATCGGCATAATTTTCTCAACTCTTAATAAATAATTTAAAGCTAAAATAAAAGTGGGTCAAAATGCAAAACAACCCAGTTTCATAACTAATAATGCATAATTAACAGACTAATTTAAGGAATATACATACCCCTGGAGTCTTCTTAAACAGTGTTGGTGTTTCTATATCCACAAACCCTAAAAAGAAACACCAGAATGTAGCAGATAAGAATTTGGAATCTCTCACAATTGGTGTCCAATAAATATGAGGCTTTACTTTAATTAGGAATTTTGAAATAAGTCACCAAGCCTATTGGTGCTGATTTCCAAATACCCAAGCAAGTTGAAGACTTTCAGAAAAATAGTGTCCATGAAAATCATTCATGAAATATTGTTCATGCAAATATTCACGAGGTTTATGACTATGGAAATTTATGACAAAAGAATCTGTAATACTTATGAAGTTTTATCTGCTGCACAGTTCCAGCATTCTAAATGTTCTGCTAGTACAGGCAAAGTGCATATATTTTGAAAAAATAGGGCTTATCCATTGAGCTGACAGCAAATGATGTATAGATATGATAAAGGATTAAGAAAAGTTAGGGAAAATAGCAAGCAACAAATGCTGGCGAGGTTGTGGAGAAACTGGAACCCTTATTCACTGTTGGTGGCAGTGTAAAATGGTGCAGCCACTGTGGAAGGCAGTATGGCGCTTTCTCAAAAAGTTGCAAATAGAGATACCATTTGACCCAGCAATTCCACTACTAGGAATATACCCCAAAGAGACCATAACTGACATCCAAGCAGATATATGCACACCCATGTTTACTGCAGCTTTGTTCACAATAGCAAGGAGTTGGAAACAAAGTAAGTGGCCATCAACAAATGAATGGATAGAGAAGCTGTGGTATATTCACACAATGGAATACTATGCTGCATTGAAAAAAAAGGAACTCATGCAATATTATTCAAAATGGGTGACTCTGGAGGGCATTATGCTGAGTGAAGCATCTCAGTCACAAAAGACAAATACTGCATGGTGCCACTGTTGTAAAACAGGACTGACCTTGGGGTTGGGGGGAGACTGAGAAAGATGGGTTCAACAATGTATACTGCATTGAAACAGATGAGGGAGAAAACTATTTAAAAGGGATATGTGATTAGGTATTTTTGTTATGACAGGAGTCCAGAGCGAAGGCTACATGGTGGAGTGGAACTGGGGGAGGGTTTGTAAAACAATGAAAGAATTTGTCTTTTACTTTTCCAAGAGGGTAGTCTACTAGAGGGAAAGATTGGGAGGGGAAAAAAGTGCAACAATGAATGAATGGAAATCCAAAGTCTCTCTAAATTTTTATTGAAATTAATAATAAATTTAAATTAAAAAAAAGAAAAGTTAGGGAAAATAAAGACTGTTCTACCTACAACACTAATAGGAAACAGCTACATAGCATAATGTAGTAAGTACTATCACCTTTAAAAGAATGTATTCATAACCTGAGTACTAGTTACTATATCATGTTCTAAGACAAAACACTCTGAAAGTGAACCATTCTTTATAAAGTACCTTGTACATTGAGTGACTTCTAGGCCTCTGGCAACATCTTACCTAAAGATGCTGCATAGAACGGAACAAATACAATGGAGAACAAAAGAACTTTCAGGTGTTATCCTTACCGTGGAGATTACAGAGGTACTCCCGCATCCTCATGACCATCTGGGACCTCAGTCTCAGGTTATACTGCATTTGGAAACTACGCAAGTCTAAGTAGCGATACTGCAAGCGAAGAGCTTCTGTTTTCTAAACAAGTTTAAAAATTTTTATGTTTAAACAAGTGCACTGAATATTTGAAACCTATCATCTTTAGGTCTAAAGACTACATTTGCAAAAACTGTAGCAAGTAACCTACCAGATTCTTGTTTCCATTTGTGTGAATCACGATGCATTATTACCTGCATGGATTAAAATGTCTTCCTTGTTGTTGTTATGTGCCATTGAATCACTTGCGACTCATAGAGACCCTATGTACAAAAGCCCTAAATGCTGTTTTATCCTGTGCCAACCTCGCCATCTCAAATACACTCATTCCCTTTAACCATTTTTTTATCCATTTAAGACTAGGTAAGTTTGATTTTTTTTCTTTTGGAGATTTCAAGTATATTTTAAAAAGATTCACCAGAACAAAATGCAGTTCGAGTCTTATCATGGCAATGGGAACGTAATTATATAAGAAATGCCAGAGGACAGTAGGTGGAACTCCTCAGCTATACTAGAAGGACCATATATAAGAAACATGACAAGAAGGTTTGCTTAGTTCAAGGCTATAAATCCTGGATCCCTTTTGATGTTGAGGACATTTTAAAGAAGTCCTTTTGTAGAATAGAATTAGTCATTTCTCTGACTAGTTCTGTACCTTCTCTTTCTGAAAGGTAATCTAAGTAAAATTGTGTATTTCTTTTTCACAAGGTCAACCTGCAATTGTATTGCTCTGATTAAAGCATTAAGTATGAGACACTTAAATGCAAGACAACTAACTATAAAAGAATGCATTTATATTCTTACGCACATTTATGAATTTATACAATTAATACAAAAATCCTCCAGGTAAGCTTACAAATTAGGCATATCAAAATTTGCAATGGTATAAAGCTGAAAATTAATGTGGGTCTACTAACTTGGTGCTATCTAGTCCCATCAACCCTATAAAATGTGGCAAAGATCATCTTAAATTACATTAGTCATGTGCACAAACTTGGAGACAAGAGTTACTCCAAGAATACATTTTGTCATTATTAGAGGTTTAAACTTACTAGGTGCAGAATCTTCTATACTATTTGACTATTTCTAAACTAGATACACAATTTTTTTTTCAAAATGTAAGGCAACAGCAGCAATTAAAAAAAAGGAACAATTTTGCACTCAAGTTACAGAAAAACATCATTAAAAAGTCTAGGAATTTAGAATATGCAACAGCTAATAAAAAACTTAGTATTGCAGATGTTAAATTTTTGTTTTAAAAAATTCTGAAAACATTTTACATAGCATCAGTGTCTCCTAAATATTTTATTAATACCAAGATGGCACCTTCACAAAGTCCTTGATTTCAAATGGGAGCTTCTTACAGGAATTCAGAAGCTTAGCAGTTTTAACTTGGATTTCAATCTTCCCTGTTGGCATTTTCTGGATGAGAGAATGAAACAAAGAAAAGGAGATACACACAGAAAAATATTTTTTAAATAAACCTCAAACCACCACTCATCAGGACATGTTCCCAGTTCAGAGCTGTAATCCCACATGCATTTGCTAAATGCCTGTCCACACTTTCATATTTTATGCACATATATGGACTATGTGCTCATCAACAAATGACTGACCATGTATCCCACGTATATTTACATAGGTGTCTGTGTTTGCAGAGAAGATTCTGAAGCCTATAGGTTTCTGTGTAGACCTCAGGGAGCTCTAGTATCTGATGTCCAATATGTGCTCAGTCTTCTCATCTGAATGTGTAACATTGTTATTGTTACATGACATCAAGTATGAATACAACTCATAGCAACTATATGAACAGCACATCTGAACCCTGTTTCAGCCTGTGCCATCCTCATCATGTCCAACATACTTGAGTCCAGTATGACTTCCAAAGAGAACAGACTTATAATACAGTCAAGTTTCTAATACAGAATTATTTTAAGTGTTTTGAACTTAATTTTTAGTCACATGTATGTGTCCCTCTGACTGTTTCAGCCATAGAAAAGAAAGTGAGATCTATATGAGTATTTCTTCTGTTGGAAGGTTATGGAAATTCTTTCTCATCAGACACAGTGTGACTGTCTGGACCCAAAGTTAGCAGCTAGTTCCTCAAAGCTGGTACAACAGCATAGTCTATAAGAAAGGTCTAGAACTTCTAACAATTATATAGACACTGCAAATGTACGTAAGTAAGGCTTAGAGACACTTTCTGTACTACTAACTGGATTCTCTTGTCCTGGAGGTCGGGAAATGACTGTTCCAGACACCTGCACCACAGATTCCACAGGAGCTTCACATAAAATCTTTTTCACAGAAGCAGCAGACTACAAAATAACAGAGGGAAATCAGTTACAAAAAACAAATTAACTTAAAGGAATTGGTAACTATAAGCTTTGGTTTAGAAAAACTTTAGTCATGGTTCAAAGTACTGCTAACCCAAAGGTGAAGGCTCTCTGGTGGTTCAAATCTAATAGTGGCTACACAGAAGAAAGATGGACAATCTCCTTCAGGCAATTTACAGCTGGGAAACCCAATGTGGGGTTGACTGTGAGTTGATTCCAGTTCAATGGGAATGAGTGGGCTACATGCAAAATGAGTGACACTGATTACATTCTTCAAGTTGTAATACCATTCTAGGTATTATTTTCCAAATATCCGACCATCATTATCTTACACTCACTGCCTTCTAAGTTTCCTGTCTAACCAATAGATTTCACCTAGATAATTTTTTTTTCTGTTATCGTTGTTGAGAATACATACACAGCAAAATTATTCAGGTTTCAACCAGTACATTTAAGTGACATGGATTACTTTCTTCAAGGTGTGCAATGATTCTAAGCCTTCTTTCCTAAGTGGTTCCTTCACCATTAAAATAAAGTCACTGACCCATCAGGTTGCTAAATATTTTTTTAGATGCTTTTGTCTATTTGATCCCATATACATAGTTCATAGATCCCATACACACAACAACAACATACATAATACTTAAAAAAGCAGATAATTCTCAAGGCAGATATTTTTTATACTTGTTAGGATAAATTAATTTGTGGTGTTTTGGTTTTGGTTTGGTGTTTGTAGTTTTTTGTTTGTTTGTTTGTTTTTTTGTTTTGAGTACAGTGTACTTTATTGATGATACATGACAAGATGGGCTTGCCAAGCCCCTCCCCTTTCTCAGGGGGATTTGATGGAAACTTGTGTCAAGGATGTGAGATTCTCAGTGTGTGGGAGGATGAAGTTGGGGCAAGGACTCCCCAGCAACTGAGGGTCTCTCTCTCTCTTCTAGTGCTATTGCTGGGGCTGGTGGTCCAAAGGGATCTTATTCTTTGGAGGCCATGTGAACCATCAGGTCGACCACCCGGTTGCTGTAGCCAAATTCATTGTCACACCAGGAAATGAGTTTGACAAAGTGGTCGTTCAGGGCAATGCCAGCCCCAGCATCGAAGGTGGAAGAGTGGGTGTCACTATTAAAGTCACAGGAGACAACCTGGTCTTCAGTGTATCCCAGAATGCCCTTGAGGGGCCCTTCTGATGCCTGCTTTACTACTTTCTTGATGTCATCATATTTGGCAGCTTTCTCCAGACGGCAGGTCAGGTCCACAACTGACACATTGGGGGTGGGGACACGGAAAGCCATGCCGGTAAGTTTCCCATTCAGTTCAGGGATGACCTTGCCCACGGCCTTGGCAGCGCCAGTAGATGCAGGGATGATGTTCTGGGCAGCTCCACGGCCATCATGCCACAGCTTTCCAGAGGGGCCATCCACAGTCTTCTGGGTGGCAGTGATGGCATGGACTGTGGTCATGAGTCCCTCTACAATGCCGAAGTTGTCATGGATGACCTTGGCCAGGGGAGCCAAGCAGTTGGTGGTGCAGGAGGCATTGCTGACAATCTTGAGAGAGTTGTCATACTTTTCATGGTTCACACCCATCACAAACATGGGGGCATCGGCAGAAGGAGCAGAGATGATTACCCGTTTGGCACCACCCTTCAAGTGAGCCCCAGCCTTCTCCAAGGTTGTGAAGACACCAGTGGACTCCACAACATACTCAGCACCAGCATCACCCCACTTGATGTTGGCAAGATCTCGCTCCTGGAAGATAGTGATGGCTTTCCCATTGATGACCAGCTTCCCATTCTCAGCCTTGACAGTGCCGTTGAACTTGCCATGGGTGGAATCATATTGGAACATATAGACCATGTAGTTGAGGTCAATGAAGGGATCATTGACGGCAACAACTTCCACTTTGCCAGAGTTAAATGCAGCCCTGGTGACCAGGCACCCAGTGCGGCCAAATCCGTTTACTCCGACCTTCACCATCGTGTCTCAGGGATGCGGCTGAGGCTGCACAAGAAGAGAGGGCAATCTGGATCGACGAGGAGCAGAAAGCCGGTGTTTGTGTTTTTTGTGAGAAAAATTTGTATTTAGAATTAGTCAGCTGGACTCAATTTAAATGATCCCAATTTTGTTGGCAACATCCAAAGCGTCATAGTCAGGAACAAGTCGAACATAGGCCTTCTTCCCTCCATCAGGCCTAATCACGGTGTTGACCTTGGCTACATCAGTGTCATAGAGCTTCTTTATAGCTTGTTTAATTTGGTGATTGTTGACCTTGACATCCACAATGAACACAAGTGTGTTGTTATCTTCTATCTTCTTCATGGCTGACTCAGTGGTCAGGGGAAACTTGATGATGGCTAGTGGTCAAGCTTTTTTCTCCTGGGGACACTCTTCCAGGAGTATTTGGGCTTACTTCGGAATCTCAGCGTCTTTGGCCGCCAGAAGGTGGGTGTCATGCGGATCTTCTTTTTTTTTTTTTTGGCTGTGGATGTCCTTCAGGAATGCCTTCTTGGCCTTTAATGTCTTTGCTTTGGCTTCAGTTTTGGGAGGGGCAGGGGTTTCCTTCTTTGCTTTTGGCACTATCTTTGTAAAAAGGTAATGTGCAGTTTTAAGTTGTTGTTGTATACTTTTGAGTCAGAACTAACCAATACCTAACTCTCCAGCAAGTTTTCAGACACAGTTTAATTACATGGCAGGAGCTTGTCCATCTTTCTCCGCGAAGCATCTGGTGGACTTGAACAGCAAGCCTTTGGGATTGCACTGCAGCTTCTTGCGACCAGGCCTTGTTGTTGTTGTTGTTATGTGCTGTCAAGTTGCTTGTGACTCATAGTGACCCTATGTACAACGGCTCTGTATCCTGCTCTATTGCGAGCCAACCTTATTGTCTCTGACATACCTACCCCCATTACCCCAGTTACGGAGTCAATCCATCTCATCCAGGTCTTCCTCTCCTGCATTACCCCTCCACCATCTCAAGCATGATGTCCTTCTCCAAGGACTGGTCCCTCCTTGCAACATGTCCAAAGTATGTCAGACGGAGCTTCAGAATCCTTGCCTCTAAGGAGCTGCCCAGGCTGCTCTAGAACAAACATATTTGTTCTCCTAGTAGTCCATGGTATATTCAATACTCTTCTCCAGCACCACAGCTCAGAGGAACCAATCCTCCTATCATGCCTAGTCATTGTCCAGCTTTCTGATGCATAGGAAGCAATTGTGAAGACTATGGCTTGGATCAGGTGCACCTTAGTCTCTAAATTTACATTGCTGCTCTTCAGTACTCAGGAGAGGTCTCTGACAGCTGACTCTCCCAATGCTATTCATCTTTTGATTTCCAGGCTGCTGGTACCAAGAGTGTTGACTGTGGAGCCAGGCAAACAGAAACTGTTAACAATCTCAATCTCTTCCCCATCTATCATGATACTGCCAATTGGCCCAGTAGTGAGACTCTAGGCCACTAGGCCTGTTGCTGTTGATTGCTGTTGAGTCGAGCATGACTCACAGTGACCCTATGAACAAAAAACCTGAAGCCTTTATGTAACTATCGTTGTTATTCCAAGTTCACAGAGCTTCTAAAGGCATGTGGTTTAGGAAGTGGATGCCAGTCCTGCTTCCAAACCTGAATCACTCTGGAAATTCCACCAAACACTGCCCCTGATGGGTACCCATTATGGTATTTGGCACACCTCTGGCACAGCTGTTCCATTATGGCATTTGAGACCCCAATAACACAAGGTTCAGTGTCCCAGCAAACCCAGATTACCTCAGCACAGCAAATTGATAAAAGTGTTGTATGATTTAGAACAATGTTCCTCAAAATATAGTAACAAGGGATTAAAATATAGTCCCTCGGGCCCAACTTTTAAATACAAGGGGCCTCCAGGAGGTCTTGCTGACACTAAACAAGAAGCTTAAATAAAAAAAAAAACCCAACACACCAAACATTCCACATGACCCTCAACCAAAATAAGAGAGACCACCTTATAGAGTCCAGCCACTTCACTTAGTCTCCCCCACTAGGCTAGCAGGTTACAATTCAGGTTGGAAGCAAGCTACAATTCTTAAGTTAGGACAGCTTTTCAAGCAAGCTTGCAGGCCCTCTAACCTTCACCCTTGCAACTTTCTATCATGATCTGAGTAAAAGTTTACAGAGCAAATTTGTGTTCTATTTAGCCATTCATACACATATGGTGTTAGGATATTAATTATAATCTCCACATTGTATCAGCCCACTTTCTGATTCTGCTCTGTGAGCCCGTTCATTCTCCCTTGCAGCCTTTCTAAGCTGTATTTCTTCTAGTCTTGTACAATTGTTCTAAGTAGGGAGCACCTCTGTGGTGTTAATAAAAGCTGAGCCTCAAGAGTCAGTTCCAGGGTAGAAGGGTGAACAAGGCCATGATTTTGGGGGGTTACATCAGTCTATACTAATTAGATGAGCAAGCTTGGTTACTTTCATCATTTTGAGTTTTACATATATTTCTCTTACTCTGCGCAAGACCCTCTACTGTGATCCTTTTTGAGTGAATCGCAGTAGAATTCATGCATCACTCAATCGTGATGGTTCATTAGTTCTCAGAGCTAATTATTTCTATCTGTCTTTTCTTTTCTTCCCTTCTCTTTGTTCTAAACAGGGAGAGAACAATAGCTATGCCTTAGAGGTCTGTTCATAAGCTCTTAAGATTATTCACAAAAGTAGGACATAGAACACTGTCTTTGTGAATCATGTTATACCACCTGACCTGAGTCAGTTATCCTCTGAGTTTATGGTCCTGAGGCCCAAGGATTAGCAACTCATTCACTCTTAGTGTTAGGTTATGATTAAGAAGTTTCACGTAACTTTGTACCCTGTACTTCTACTTAGGGGATTTTCCCCCTCCCTTTATATTTAAAGATTCAGGAAAATTATTCCTCCAATGGATGGATTCTTTTTTTTTTTAATTATTATTTTAATGTTTTAAATGTGAATGTTTTCTTTTATAAAAATATCCTGACTGTATCCCTCCAGCCCAGACTGAGTCATACTCCTGCTGTGAGCATTCTGTCAGCAGGAATCCTATTTTATTCCTATAGCACTTCATTCACTAAGTTGAGGTAACAGGATCTTCTCGATTAAGAAGACTGACATCTCTATAAGGTGAGCGAGCTTCCCAGCCGTCTTAGGATCTTGGAGACATAACTACATAGCTGAGGAAGAAAACCTAGCTTCTGACCGCCAGTTAGCTGACAATTGTGTAGTAATTTGAAAAGAGCTCTTCTCCTTGCTTTAGGTCCCTGAGAGCAACAAGAACAACACATCGAAGTAGGCTTTGTTTGTTGCAGCTATAGGCAACGTTTGGAAGATACTGCATCAGTTCCACAGGAAAAACTGCAGACACATCAAATTCCTGATAACAGACATTAGCTGCTTTGTCATTTGAACAGTTGTTAACATACTGTCCAATGGCCAGTGGATTGGACATTTCTGAAGTCAGCCATGTACTGTCACTCATTTTTAAAGGACCAAGTCGGTCCCTGCCATTGCAAGATCTGTACACTACTTTTGATATTCCTTTGTCGTTTCCATCAACGAGTACTCCATCCAGGCATCTAAAAATAGATGGATTTCCAATGGACTGGAAAAAGACTGGCTCATAGTTCTGATAAACTGTACCTGGGGTTATGGCTAAGGTTCAGGGCGATCCAGAGTATGAAGCAGTACTTCTAATGGTGCCACCCCTGCCATAGGCCCCACAGCAGGCGGGCGGGCCCAATGGATGGATTCTTAAGAAGAAAATTTCAAGTTCGAGTCTGTATTTCCTTTGTTTTGATCAGGATTCTTCTATAGAATCTTTGAATAAAATGTTCGGCAATGGAAGCGGGGCACCATGAAGTTGCGGTGTCATGGCAAAGGAAGGGGTTGTTCATGTAGGCAATGGGCACAACTCTATCCTCTCTTTGTATTCCTTCCTCTTATTCTGCATCTTTTTTTTATTTGCTCTAATTTTAATTGCTATTATTTTTTTTTAGCAAGTAATACTTTATATGGCCAAAAGTCATAAAATGCCAAAAAGTATACAGTGAAGAGTCTACCTACAGACTCTCAGTTCACTTCTTCAGAGGTCCCAATGTTACTAGATACTTACACTTCTAGGTAAATTTTACAACATATACCAACAAAAATACACAGCATATTTTTCCTTTCATTCCTCCCTATTTTATGATTGTACACCTATGTTTCTTTGTGTCTTCCTTTTATTTAAAAATATACCTTGGACTTTTTTTCCATTTTAGCACCTATGAAAAACTTCTTTATTCTTTTTCTATGGCTGAGCAGTATATCCTACTGTAAGGATCTATAGGGAACTCTGGTGGCCTGGTGGTTAAGAGGCTGCACTGAAATCCCAAAGGCACATAGTTCAAATTCACCAGCTGCTCTTTAGCAGAAGAGTGTGAAATCTCCTCTCAGGTGATTGTGATTTACTGCCTCTGAAAACCTGCTGAAGCATCTGCTATAGGTCCATTACAACCTAAAGGCAAACAATAACAACAACATTCTTTTAACCAACACAAAGATATGTGGTTCAAATCCACTAGATGTTCTGTAAAGAAAGCTGGGCAATCTCTTCTCCTTGTGAGTTACAGCCTCTGAAAACTAGATAAAGGGTTAGCTATGAGTGGGTGTCAACTCATTGCTGGAGTTTTGTGATGGGTTGGCACAGTGACTACATCCATGGGCGTACAAACAATAGAGATGATGAGGAAGATACAGGATCAGGCAACAACCCTATCGTAGTCAGGGTTGCTATCAGTAGGCATCAACATGACACCACCTTATAATAAGAATGTATGAGCATCTGCTTTCTCAAACACAGCATGCTGTCAATCCGACATTAAACATAGTAACTGAGAGTAGCTATAATTCGGACTTCTCCACTTACAGTTCGATTAGACATACTGGTGGTATACACCTACAAGTCATTTATATTTTCTGTAAAATTTATGCTTTATGCTGTGTTTTGCTAATTTTAAGTTTAGGAGCTGTAGGGTCTCCAGAGCATTACATACTTATCAAACATACTTAGCTTACACACACACACACACACACACACACACAGCATCAAACAGGTTTTCAGATTATAGTAGGAAACCTTCTATTACCTCATCCTGAGGAATGACAGCTTGAACAAGCCCCTGGAAATCTCTCAGAACCAGGAATATGTTTTGTCTGATAAAAAAAGAAAGTGAACAATTTTAGGATAAAATCTTTAAGCCCAAAGTTTAACAGGCAAAACAAGCACACCAAACCCATGCAATTTTTCATATTTGTTTTTTCATAATTATCTGCATTTATTTACTAGCTACAACTGTAACAGAAAAAAGTATAAAAAGCACCTTGACATTTTAATTTTAAGATAATAGAGTACCAAATGTATTGGTCCAATATCCTCCTTTTAGGGAAAAGTCCTTTAGGAAAGTCATATAGTCTATAGAATTAAAGAAATGAATAAATGTACTATTCAGGTACATTCTGGAACAAAGAGATGAACAAAAGAGATAAGGTCTAGAGAGGTCTGGTGCATAGTCCATAGGGTGTTGCCCTGCTACCATACAGAGGGACCTCTCTGGAGTTCTGAAGCCACCTGCTGTGCAGTGGGAGAAAGATGAGCAATCATTTTGCCTTGTGTCACTCCAAAATCCCACTAGAGGGTGAGTGATGATTCAATTCAGACTGAATGGTAGTGACTTTCTGTTGTTGGTTGGTTTGTTTTTTTAAAGGAATCACTATTATTCAAGGTTTTAGGCTCTTCTTCACTTAAAAATGAAAACAAAAGTAGCTTTTAAAAAAATACCACTGGAGATTCGCAATTTAGGAGCTACGGCACACTGGCTCATTCACAATTACTGATCCCAGGAGCTCTTCAGCTTTAGTAAACTACTTTAGTTCACTGGTTCATAAAGGGTCAATTTTTATACTTTTCAGGAAATGTTTCTGATACTTATTGAGGATGACACTATTTGTGATTTCAAACAAAGCAAAACAAAACAAAACACCAAAACAGACGATACAGTGAATTCTCAGAAGCCTGCAGGAGTTGCAAGGCTATTTATTCTTCTTGTCACTGATTTACCACTAATAAAGCTTTAAGCGAAATAATAACAATGCAATCTTAATCTGCCTCAATTTACCGTCGGTACTGAATCCATCCACACAGGGTGACTTCTTGGCCTATATGAGAAGAACACAACTCCCCACATGTGTTGGTCCGTGCAACAAAGCTATTGAATTCTTTAAAACAAAAGAAACAAAAGCTCAAATGCAAATTTCTTGAACATTCTCAAATCAAAACATATTAGGTATATTTCAGGTCAGTGGATGAAATTTATAAATCAGGATAATCATCTATTAAATTTACCTGCAAATGTGTCAGAAAAGTCAAGTGACGAATTTTCTTTAGGAACCTTTTTGCTATTAGAAAATTCACAGTTTTGGGGTCATCAGGCATTTGTAGTGACCTAAAATCCCAATTGCCCCATTCTTAATATCGTACATTTCTTCTCCAAATGAAATTACAGATTTTAGAAATTACAGAATTTTGATCGTTCAGGAAATACTTACATTAGAATCAGTTTAGTGTCTCACGTACTTTGGGCATGTTACAGGTGAGGTTAGTCCTCGGAAAAGGGCATTATAATTGGAAAAGTAGAGGTCAGTCAAAGAGAATTCTACCTTTTTCTGTAGGGTCACTTTGAGTCGTAATTGACAGAATGGCACACAACAATAACATCCAAAAGACATGGAAAGACTTGTCACAGAGGAAAATATTCAGATGACAAAACAGGCCAATGAAGAAATGCTCAAAATCACTGGCAATAAGAGGGATGCAAATCAAAACCACAGTGAAATATCATCTCACTCCAGTAGCAGTGGCAAAGTTTAACAGGTCAGCAAGTAATAAATGTTGGAGAGGATGTGTAGAGGGAGAAACATAAAAGCAGATTATCCTATCAGTGTTATTTAGCTTTTTCTGGCCTCTTAAAACTCAACTAGGAGAATTAACGATCAACGTCTAGACATGAATTTCCTCTTAAGATTGGGGAAAGGAATAGAACAAGAGCACTCTTGGCTGCGGAGAAAAGGTACAAGAGGACAGAGCTCTCCATCGTTTTCACCTGGAATTCTCCTCTGCTGACTCAGCACCATACTTCGGGAAAGCGAACCCCAGACGGGATTGGTGGTCTTTCTGATGGGACTACATAAATTCTTATATAGCAGAATTAGCCCACAGCGGAAGTACATGTTGGAGAGAGATGCTCACGAATCCTATGCTGCGGATATTGGAAAGTGAACAACTCTGTTTTGGAAAGACACAAATCCTTTAAAATTCTAGGATCCACCACTCAGTATTTCAGCCTTCTCCGCTGAACATTTAAGAACAAATGTCTAGAAACTAGAAAATAAATTTTCAGTCTCTGGGGCCTTTGATAGAAGGAAGACCTCTTTTCCCCTCTCCTTCTTATTGTATCATCTTCCACCTTCTGTAACAAACCAGACTAAGGCCAGAAGTGACGAGAGAAGGATTCCACACTGCAATGCGAGGCGAAAACAGAGGACAATCCAGAGGCGGAGCGGGACCGGCCACTAGCTGTATGCCCTTCACTTCCTTTTTCGCTTTCCTTGAAGCTCCCGAGAAGAAAAATTGAAAAAAAAAAATCTGCTTAGAGTTTCACATCTCCTATACTTGGCAGCAGACCTCGAGTGTTCTGCAAGAAGAAAGTGATCGAATCCAAAATGCAGTCAGATCATAAAGGCAAACATAACTGGGAGCTGGACACCAAGCACATCTCAATCCACTCAGAGAGCCCGAGAGTACGCGACCAATCAAAGCCGAGGTGTCGCCGCCATGCTTACTATGGGCGGAAATTTTGGGAAAAGCTTCGTTCCCGTAGACTAAGCACTGGAGTGAAACATCCAACAAAAAGAGAATGATGCTAGTCTATTTAGAGCGCTTCTTGCCGTTGCCCTTAATTAAGATGGCTACCGTAGTTACGTCAATGATTTGAAATCAGCTAGGCGGTAAGGAAGTGCCCTGCGTGAAGTCGCAGAGCTAGTCGGGATACGATTTTAAACTGAGGCGGCGGCCGCATAGTTAACTAGGCTGAGTTTTGCTTACGCGGGATTTCAGAACTGGCCTTTGTACCTGAAAGACCTAGGGACGAGTTGGGACATATTGTTCTTTATCTTCTCCCCCTCTTTTGCGAAGAGTTGCTGCCTTCTCAGGAGCGTGGGTTGCGAAGCTGGACTCCTGGCCTGGCATCTGAGCGAACTGAGGTCTCCTTACTGGGCGTGTCTGTACCTCTATAATACCCATTTGTTTTGGAGTGACAGAGGATTTGAGAGGACTGAGGCTTTCGCGGGGCTTTGTCTTAGTTGTCATTCTGACAACTTTTTTTTTTTTTTTTTAACTTCTTGGGATTTTAGTCTTCGCGTCGTTTTGAGTCCCTTCCTGAAGAATGATTTGTGAAGGCAGAATGCGTAACAACGTCATCGCGGCAGTTTATTGGTAAGGTGCTTTGTCCAGTGCTGGTTGTAAATTTTACATGTCGTGTGGTAATTATTATCTACTTACGTGTGTTTATATAAGTTACATATGCTACATACTTAACACTTGGGTAAGCATTGGTGTCGTGTCAGCGTAGAAAGGCATTTAAGCCAGGATCTCATCCTTTGTGGATCTATCACTAGAAAAAGAGTTGCATGTTGACTGTATGTTCTCAGAATCGACTCCTCGTTGACCCTCCAGCAGGTTTTCAGGGTCTGTGATTCTCACAAGAGACTGCCCATTTTTATCTCACGGAGCTACTGATGGGTTCGAACCGTGTGCCTTTGCAGACGTGGTTGCACAGCTCCTTATCCATTACTACAGATGTAAAAGTATCTGGTGCGAGAGCTAGATCCCAGGGAGCCTATAAGAAGGGAAAAGCCTTGATCAAACAAAAGGAGTAGTGAATTTAGCAATTAGCAGTAGAATAAAAAAAAATTCCAAGAGCAAATGATGATTGATGGGCATGAAAAGCAGCTGGAGCAAATGTTTGGGATGCATAACAGTCGTTTTTAAACTTTTAAAGAATTGACGACTGGGCCATTGTTCGCACCTTATTACCCACATATGCTTTATTATACATCTTGTGGAAACTGTCGCACAATATTATTGGTTTCACATGCAAGCAAGATTCTACTGAAGATTATCCAAAAACGATTGGAACAGCACATCAGCAGAGAACTGCCGGAAGTCCAGGCTGGGTTTAGAAGGGGTCGTGGTACTAGGGATATTGTAGCTAATGTTAGATGGATCTCAGCTGAAATCAGGGAGTACCAGAGGAATGTCTGTCTGTGTTTCATTGATGATGCAAAGGTGTTTGTGTGGATCATAACAATCTGTGGCTGACTCTGAGAAGAACGGGAATCCCTGAACACTTGATCATGCTAATGCAAAACTTATGCTTGAACCAAGAGGCAGTCATCAGAAAGAGCAAGGAAACACTGCATGGTTCAAAATTGGAAGGGCGTATGCCAGGGATGTGTCCTATCTCTATACCTTTTCAACCTGAATGCAGAATAGATTATCCGGGAGGCTGGGCTCTATGAGGAGAAATGTGGCATCAGGATTGGTGGAAAATCTGTTAACAATCTGCCTTATGCAGATGACAACCCTGCTTGCTGACTGAGGAGGACCTGAAGCGCTTGCTGCAGAGGGTCAAGGACTGCAGCCTTCAATATGGATTGAGGCTCAATGTCAAGAAGGCAAAGATTCTCACCACTGGACAAATTGGCAGCATCAGGATGGATGGTGAAGATATTACGATTGTTCACAGCTTTAGTTTGCTTGGCTCCACAGTCATTGCTCTTGGCACCAGCAGCCAGGAAATTAAAAATGTATTGCGATGAGAAAGTCTGCTGTTAGGGACCTCTCCAAAGTACTGAAGAGCAGTGGTGTCTCTCTGGAGACTAAGGTGTGTCTGATACAGGCCATGGTTTTTGCAATCACTTGTTATGCATCAGAGAGCAGGACAATGACTAGGGAGGATATAAGGAGAATTGATGCCTTTGAGCTTTGGTGTTGGAGAAGAGTATTGAATATAACATGGACTGCTAAGAAAACAGATTCATCCTGGAGAGGGTTAACCAGGCTGCTCCTTGGAGTCAAGGATTCTGGGGCGTCGTCTGACATACTTTGGAGATGTTGTAAGGAGGGACAGGTCTTTGGAGAGGGACATCATGCTTGGGAGGGTGGAGGGACAGCGCAGGAGGGGAAGACCCTCTATGAGGTGGGTTGATTTAGTGACTGGGTAATCGGGATGGGTGTATCAGTGCAATTGGCACAGGACAAGGCAGAGTTAAGGGCTCTTGTACATACGGTCGCTATGAGCCGCAAGCGATGACTCAACGGCACATAACAACAACAACCATACATGCATGTATTAACTAACCATCTTAATACAAGCATGTATTAACATTTTAAGAACAAAGAAACATTAAGTATCTGATCTGCTTTTATCCTTTTATTACCCATTAAATAATCTGGTCTAAACAAATTCACCTGATTCTCATTTTCCTCTCAGAACACTTGTAGTTCTTAATTTGTTGTGTGCAGCCAATTGGAATCTACTGAGAACTGACCATCCAGCGGGTTTTCAGAGGCAGTTAATTGTGCTGGAGGAGATTGCCCATCCTTCTGTGGTGCAGCTGGTGGATTTGTGCGTTTGAGATTACAGTGTAGCTTCTTACCATCACTTGTTAAGGTGCTTTTGTTTCGAGTAGGAATCATAATGTCCCTATGAACAGCTATCTTGCCTTGTCCAGGGCCATCCTCATCATCTCTGAGACATAGAAGCTTCCTCATCCTTGCTTCCAAGGGCACTCTGGCCGCACCCTTTGCAGGACATACCTGTTTGTTCTTTTGGCAGTGCATGGTATATTCAGTACTCTTACCTAACACCACAGTTCAAAGGTATCCACTCTTCTTCTGTCATCCTTACCACTAGGCTATCAGAAGTTCTATTTTTTGTTGTTCTTGGTAACACTTATTTCTCTTTCCTGTATCTACATATCTGGTTCTCTGTTAAGATGCAAACTTGGGGCTTGCTACCCATATCAAAATGTTTCTTTTATCTAGGAAACTAGGAAGCAAATGCATGAGCATTCCCTTTTAGCACCTTGATGTAAAAGGAAGCTCAGTATTGTAACTGTTAAAAATCTTTCTGTCAGATGTAGCCATGAGGAGTCTCAGGGTTAGCTTCTTTACTGGCTTATCCTGTACCAAGTTTTTCCCCTTACAGCATATCAGAATAAACTATCTTTCTTGACTTTAATTTAAACTGCAGTAGTTAATAGTTTTCTCCCCTAAAATAGAACTTATGAAGTAGCCAAAAGTAAACTTAGGTAGTACCAGTAAAAGAATGGTTAATGAAGTGATCTTAGGTAGTAACCAGTAAAAGACTAGTTAATGAAGGGCCTTGGAAACCAGACAGAGGGGTTCTGACTTTATGTGGAAGTTGAAATTCTTGTGGGATTGAAAGCAAAGCAACAAGGGAAAAGTGATCTTTGTGGAAGACTAGGGAACTCTGGTGGCCTACTTGTAAGGAGCTGTGCTGCAAACCCAAAGTTAGGTGGTTCTAATCAGCAGCTCCATGAAAGGAATATATGTACTGTCGGGGAAAAGAGTAACAACCACTGCAATTACTAAAAGTCAAGAAAGATAGTTTATTCTGGTGTTGTAGAGAATAAAAACCAGTAATCACTCTCGTTACTAAAAATCAAGAAAAGATAGTTTATCCTGGCATGCTGTAGAAAAGAAAAGAGAAAAAAAAAATAAGAAAAGAGAGTGGTAGAAGAGTGGGAGAAACTGCCAGGAGATCTATTTAAACCCGAAACTCCTCTAAGGTTACATTTCACAGCAAGATTTTATGCAAGTTTCATTTACATCTAGGTGATAAAAAAGGGGATATCCAGAGAGTTGCACATTATTTGGGCAATGTATTGAGTGACTTAGAAAGCATCAAAAGAAGATGGAGGGAATACACAGAGTCACTATACCGGGAAGAACTGACTGACACTGAAACATTTCAGAAAGTACCATATGAGTAGGAGCCAGTGGTAATGAAGGAGGCAGAGGAAGCAGCAATGAAGGCATTGGCAAAAAATAGGGCCCCAGGAATCAATGACATACCAATTGACTTGTTTCAGTTAATAGATGCAGCACTGGATGATGCTCATCAGTCAGTGTCAAGAAAACGAAGATTCTTATAACTGGACTAGTAGGTAACATCATGATAGATGGTAAAGATTAAAACTGTCAACAGCTTCATCTTACATGGATCCACAGTTAACACAATTAATTGGTCAGTCAGAAAATAAGGAGATGTACTACACTGGGAAAGTCTGCAGTCAGTCACCTATCCAAAATACTGAGGAACAAGGATATCATTTTGAAGACTAAGGTGTGCCTTATTCAGACCATGGTCTTTTCAGTCACTTGCTATGTTCAGTCACTTGCTATGCATCTGAAAGTTGAATAATGAATAAGGATGGCAGAAGAAGAATTGATGCCTTTGAGCTGTGTTGTTGGACAAGAGTACTGAATAATCTCTGGGCTGTTCTTTACAAACATGTCTTGAAGAGGGTGCAACCAGAGTGCTCTTTGGAAGCAAAAATGATGAGGCTTCTCCTAACATTTCAGGCTTGTTGCAGGGCGGGGCTATTTCTTGGAGAGGGACATGATTCTTGGAAAGGTTGGTGAAGAAGAAGAAGACCCTCAATCAGATGGATTGAATACACAGTGACTGTAGCAATGGGTTCTAATCTGTCAGGAAGTGTGAGATTGTCACAGGCTAGGAAAGGGTTGAGATCTGTTCATAGGGTTGCTATGAGTGTTACCCAGCCTGGCATCTAACAACAACAGCAACATGCATTTGGGTTCCTAGCTTCTTAGATAAGAAACTTTTTGTTTTGAGTGGCAACTTTGTGTCTTTATCTTCCCAGATACCAAGATATTCACATAACACAGGGAAAATGCACAATATGTGTTACAAAAGGGAATGCAAAATCAGATGAAGCCATCTAGTCCAGGTTGATAGGTAAAACTAGTTATAGATTAAGGAGGAGTGTTAAGATTGGAAACAAGATAACTGGCTATAATTTAGAAAGAAAATGACCAAATCTTGGTGGGCTGATATGTATCTGATTAAGATGTGAGAAAATTATAACAAATTGGATAGCAGTTGAGTTAGAAGATGACTACAAATAGGCTTTTTGGAGGAGATGAAAGAAAATGAAAAGATTATTACTGAAAGTTATTACTCTAAAAGTTGGACAAAATTATTGAGTGAAGTGTAAGATACTCAATTTTAAACTCAATGAGTTTGGATATGAAACTTTAATGTGCTGTAAGAAATTTGCCATGCAGGACTGTGATGCAGGCATAAAAATATGAAGATATTGAATCATATGTAGATGGATATTTCATATGTAGAATACCCACTTAACAGAAATGGGAGGAAGAAAAGGAATCCATACATGAATCAGAACTATGAGATCTAAGGAAGACACATTGCTCACCCCTATTTCAGTTGAATGCCAGAAGAATACAAGAAAACAAAGTATAGAGAAGGGTGGTGTGCTGTCAAGGGTATTGTTCAAAGTGGTTTTCCAAGTCATTGATTGACTTTGACTTTGGCACATGGATGAATGAGAACATGAAACTTGGGTGTATTATTCTCTCCACAAGGGGATGGCTAGTCTAGCCAGTAAATTGAGTGGATTCAGTTGCAGAAATTGAAAATCTCAACCAAAAAGGATGAGGAGTCAATGAGACCAGAGATTTCTGTTCCAACAGTGGTCCTTTGGGACCAGAGATTCCTGTGCCAGCCAGACCAAGATCTCCACAAGAGCAACAGCAGCCTCAGCAGAAAACCAAAGACCAGCCTGAGACAAAGCTGACTTTGGACTGTTGCTCCACAGAACCAGAGATAGAGGCCTTCACCCAAGCTTGCTGGAGTACTTAGAAAAAAAAAGCTATTAAGTAGCAACCATAACTATGGTTCTATAAAGTCTATATAGTCATTGGAGTGGATATTGGACTTAGTAGAGCAGTAGGACTTGGTATTGAAATTAATAACAGTGGGGGCAGGATCATGGGAGACCATGTCTGACCTTATAGTAATTAGTTTTATACTGTGGATGTTGTTAGGGAGGACAGTTCCCTTGTGGAGTTGGTGGAGGTCAGACTTGGCTCTTCTAATGTTACCTACATTTATTTTACAGAGAAACCAACTTGATGAACCAAGGATTCTGGCTTTGAGGCTCTAACTCTTTAAGGGCAGAGACTGCCCATTTTTCTCCCATGTAGAACAAGTTAGACTCAAATTATTGCCCAGTAAACCAGCACTCAGCCACCAGAGTTCCTTGTGAAAAAAAAATAAAAGCAGTGCTTAATTGTCATCACTCTGGATAAAGTGCCACAGTATTTTCTGATGCACTGATATCTGCTCATTTTGTAAAACAGTAGACCCTTAATTAGATAATGCTTTTGTATATGATATTTATATTAAAAGATATAAAAGGAGGGGGAGACCCTTTAAGAAAAGGTAGCTCCACACTTGGGTCTTCTTTTCACCCTAAGGTGAATGCAAATGGAAATGAATGTAATTGGAAATATGGCGAAGGCTAACAGGAAAGTACCCTCAAAAATCCCAATTCTGGAGACTGGAACTCTGATTATTATGATGGAATTGGGGGGTGACAAGTGACATCTTGGTTATGGATGCTGGAGTCACTGGGGTGGCAAATATGTAGCCCTTTGATCAAGAAGAAGTAGGGTGGCAGTGGTCTCTCATCTATGTGTGCTGCACTTGTGATCCCTCTAGCCTGTTACTGAGTTGTAGGCAAGGATGCCTTCTTTACCAGGGGCTTGTGATCAGTAGCAGGTGGTGGGTAATGGGGTTCCCTCCTAGATGTGACATGTCCTAAGCTGAGTTCTACCTGCATGAAACTTGAATGTAAATTGACTTTCAGTGTTTAAAATTCTGGTTTTATTTCTTTTTTATGTAGACCATGGATACTTATGATGCATCAGAATCAGAATTGACTCCTAGAGAAAATACATCTTGTCGGCATAAAGATTACTTTTTAGGTGCCACCCCTCTGCAGAGACGATTAGAATCAGTCAGGAAGCAGACCAAATTTGTCTCAACTCCACCTCGAAAGAAGGTTCTTCATTCTTCACAACTTCAGGTATGCTTCATGCTACCAAACAATTGAGACTACTCGTGTACAAAATATTTCTTTTTGGTTAGTATTTTTATATCTTCTTGATCCTTCAGGTAATAAAATAAGAAACGATTTTTTAAAAAGTTATTTCACATTTTCAGCATTGTTTGTTATATCTAGGATTTATTTAGATTACCTTTACGGCTATTCTTTATTTTTTTGTTACATTGACATTTTTGAAGTCATTTCCTCTTTTGAAATAAGAATAATCTCTTTTAATGTTTCCTCATGATTCAATTGATGTTTTGTATTCTTGTCAGAAACAATAGGTGCTGTGGTTGTATCTTTCTTGGGAAGTCACATCTGGTAGCACATAGACAATGCTGATTGTCCTCATCCTATCAAGATGTTGCCCAATTTCTCTACCCTATATTATATAATTAGGGAGTTCTGGTGGCCTAATGGGTAGGGAGTATGCTGCCAAACCAAAGGTAGGCTGTTTGAATCTACCAGCTGCTTCTGGGGAGAAAGATGGGCAGTCTCCAAGGGTCAGCTATGAGTTTTAATTTTTTTAATTAAGATTTTAATGAAAGTTTGTAGAGAAATTAGATTTCCATTCATTCATTGTTGCACATTTTCCTCCCTTTCCCCGTTTATTTTTCTCTTTGAAAAAAAATCTTTTATTGTTATGAATAATACCTAATCACATATCCCTTTTATACAGTTCACTCCCTTGTCTGTTAAAATGCCGTGTACATTGTTTACCCCTTCTTTTCTTAGTTTTCTCCCAACTCCCATGTCAGTCCTGTTTTATAGCAGTGGCATTATGTATCCTTTTGTGACTAAGATATTTCACTCAGCATAATGTCCTCCATGGTTACTCATTTTGTATATTTCATGAGTTCATTGTTTTTCAGTGCTGCATAATATTCCATTGTGTGACTACCACAGCTTCTGTAGCCATTCGTTTGTTGATGGATGAGTTTGAATATTTTTGATATTATGTAATTGGAGAGCTCTGGTGACCTGGTTCATAGAGAGCTGCTAATCCAAAAGTGATGCCTGTCTGGCACTTTAAATCCACCAGTGGCTCTTTAGGAGAAAGAAGGGCAACATCTTCCTGTGAGATTCACAATCTCAGAAAACCTACTGGAGGATCAACTATGAGTTGGTTCCTACTTGAAGGCATTAAATGAGTGTGAGTGATACTGTATAACTACTGGTGGTTCTCTACCCCCTGTTTTTTAGAGTTAATGAACAATCTATTGGAAACACTTTTAAGATAATGCAAACATCTTGTTCCCATCACAATTTCTTGTTACATTTAGTACTCATTGGTAATTCTTTTCTTTTTTTTTTAAGATAGTATCTTTATCTTTGTTACAGTTAACATCTGTGTTACATTTAGCCCTCAGTTAATAACCAACCTATTTAATTTATAGTGTGTGTGGAGTCCTGATTTATTTCTTTTCCCTTTGGATTTATGGTGTGCTAATTACCATGCAGTTCCTACCACACTGCAGCAGGCAAGCTTTGATTCACTTTTCTTGTCCTACACAAAGGAAGATTTTGCGGGCTGAATCTTAGCCATTAGGGATCCTTCGTTACCATTTTCCTCTCCTTTCCTTGGGTGAATTTATTGGAAGTGAAGGATAAAAGGAAAGAAAAGAAAGGGAAGGGAATTGAAAGGGCAGAGAAGAGTTTGCAGCTATGTTGAATCTATTCACGACTTTGCCTCCATTCATGGTTGGTGTTCCAGAACTTTTCCTCAAACATCTCTGTTTTTCTCCATTTTCATATAGTGATGGCTCTCTGTACATATATACCAGTATGTACATGAAGATGGGATGAAGGCTTGGATTTCTTCACTTTGTTCCCCTTCATAATTTAACCTTTATTGAGTCTCAGAAACCACACTCATCCTGAGTCTTACTGATGGTACAGTGTAGAAGACTAGATCACACAGTAGTTTTCAAACACACATTCCTTAAATTTGCATTCTGGAGTGAAAACATCTGAGCTGTAGATCATGGCCAAATAGAGGCTGGCCTTCATCCCCTGGAGAGCCACCACGCACAGGCCCACAGGAATTAGATTGAAGAGAGTGTCGTTACTGTTTTCATCCTTGTTTTTTGTCAGTGGTACTATCTGGGTGCATCTGCAGGAAATATCCTTGCTGGCTGAAAAACCTTGTCACAATTCCTTCCAGCTGGGGTTCTCTGGGGTGTTGGTAAAATCAGTGGAACTGTTTGTGCTGCCCAGATGGAAATTCCTCACAGTATCCTTGCAGCTTGATTGTGTTCAGAGTTTCTCCTTGTATTGCTGATGCTTTGTGGTACAGGTTAGGTGAAGGAAGAAGACACAAAGAAATGAAAACCACCTCTTCCATCAAAAAAGCTTTTGCTCTGCTTCGCTTTTTCTTGCTTTTGGCCATGAACGCTTAAAGCTCTGGTTGCCCCAGTAAATCAGGATAAGGAAGAAGCCTATTCTCCATGCATATCTCTCGGTAATTTTGCCTGTTCCCATCTTTATCATGATGATTATGAAATTATTTTCTAACACCATCCATATTAAGTAGCCTTTGGTATTCTGTTGTTGAACTTTTCTCATTGCTCCAGTCATTCACTAATTCATTCAGTATTGGTATAAATTTATGAAATTTTGTATTTCAGGGTTTATAATTCATCACTAAGCTGTTTTGGTATTATACATTCCAAGTTTAACTGGTGAGAAAATGTTACGGAGACATATAATATTAGTAAATTATAATTGACTGAAATAGGATGTTGAATCCTATTTTTTTAAGTTAGATGTTTGGTTTTGAGTCACTTAGCGACAAGCTAATCACCCATGCCTATGTTGTTGTTGTTATGTGCCATCGAGTCGCCTGCGACTCATAGCGACCCTATGTACAACAGCCCTAAACTCCGCTCTGTCCTGTGCCAGTCGCACTGTCTCTGACACTCCCATCCCAATTATCCCAGTCACTGAATCAATCCACCTCATAGAGGGCCTTCCTCTCCTGCGCCATCCCTCCACCCTCCCAAGCATGATGTCCCTCTCTAAGGACCGGTCTCTCCTCACAACATGTCCAAAGTATGTTAGACAGAGCCTCAGAATCCTTGCCTCCAAGGAGCCACCCAGTTTAATCCTTTCCAGGACAAATCTGTTTGTTTTCCTAGCAGTCCATGGTATTCTCAATACTCTTCTCCAGCACCACAGCTCAAAGGCATCAATTCTCTTTCTATCCTCCTTGGTCACTGTCCAACTCTCTGATGCATAACAGGTGATTGCGAAGACCATGGCTTGTATCAGACCCACCTTAGTCTCCAAAGAGATACCGTTGCTCTTCAGCACTTTGGAGAGGTCCCTAACAGCAGACTTTCCCATGGCAATGCGCCTTCTCAGTGTTATGTGCTTCATATTTATTGGGATATTGAGAAGATTTTTGTGCAGTTTTACGGAAAAATTACTAGTTCTGGTAATAGAAGTAATCAGAAAATTGATGTTTTATATAAATTAAAAATCAGATTGCCCAATTCAATGCTTTCTCATATTTATGATACAGATAATTCTGCTTTATGTTTTTACGGTAATAAGAAAATGTTTATGGCTTTCAGTGAAGGCTCTAGTTAACTACAAATATTTTTTTTTCTTTAGTTAAGTAGTGAAAATTTCAAAATATAGTTTGAGCATTGCAAGTCTAAAGAAGTGTAGACTTACAGGAACATTCAGTTCAAAACAAAACCATGTGCCTGTATAAAGACCCTCTACAGTGCCGCAGGTTAATACAGATGAAGTAGTTGTGATTTTTGTAGTGTGTGTACATGTACAGCAGAGCATGGCAAAAACGCTCCCAAGATTTTGGCTATTTTAAAAAAATTTAGTGAATTTACTGTAATGTTTATAATTACACAGATGTTGTTGTTGTTAAGTGCCATAGAGTCTCGGGCGACTCATAGCTAGCCTATGAACGAAAGTCCTGGACACCTCCTGTAAAACTTTCATCCTTTCTCCAGGTTCATAGGGTTTCCAGAGGCAAGCTATTGTGGAAGTGGATGCACTCCTGCTTCCAAGTTTGTTTTAATTGGGGAGCTTCACCAAACACTGTCCACCATGGGTAACCATTCTCACATAGATAGAGTTAATAAAATTAATATGCTTTGAGAATGTTTATTCTTTTTTAGATTTTTTTGTTTGAAATTTCTAAAAGTGAACTGTAAATGTTCATCCAGTAAGTATTTATTGAACATCTGTTTTGGATGACATGGTTCTGGTGGTAGAGATGTATAGTGGTGTACAGATAAATGATGTCTTGTTCTCATGCTCACGCTCTAGAAGGGGAGAAAGACAATTAAAATCAGATAAATACACTGTCAAGTAGATGCCAGTGTTTTGAAGAAAGATAAAGCAGAGTAAGAGAAGATAGAAGGAACTCTGATGGCATCAGTGTACTGCATAGCGGGTTGTGCTACTAACCAAAAATCACTGTATCTCTCAGGCGGTTCAAAGCTGGATCCAGCAGTGACTCTATGAGAGAAAGATGGACAGTCTCTTCCTTTTAAGATGTCTGTCTCAAAAACCAATAGAGGGTTACTGTGAGGTGGAATTGACTCTGGCAGTGAGTTTGGTTTAGAAGAGAATATCAAGTGACAAGGTTGGAGTGGCCACAGATGTTGTTTTAAGACAGGACATCCTTGGGTAATGTTTGGGCAGAGACTTGAATGATGTGGAGAACTGTGCCATGTGAACATCTTGGGGGAGAGCATTCCAAAGAGAAGGTACAACAGATGCAAAGTGCTGTTGACAAATCTGCTAAGAATTCTGTGTGAAGTGCTTTTCTTAGAGTGCAAAGATCAAGTGTCTGATATTGTGTTAATTTTTAAGTTTACTATGACTGCATTATTTACTAGTATTCCTAATTCTTAAACTTTATTTTTTTAGGAAGATGTTGATCCTCAGAAGATTACTTTCCTGCTACATAAGCAGTGGACTTTATATAGTTCAACTCCCTTATATAAATTTTCCTATACTAATTTCAAAGAGTATTCAAGACTTCTGAGTGCATTTATTACTGCTGAAAAGCAAAAAGGATTTGCTGTGGAAGTAGGAGAAGACATCAACTTCAAAGTGATTTTCTCTACCCTTGTAGGAGTGAAAGGAACTCAAAGGGACCCAGAAGCATTTCTTATTCAGGTACTGTATGTGAAAAGTACTAACTCCTTAGGGGGAAAACATACGCATTTTCTTGGTTTGGAAATTGCTTTGTATTATCCTACTGTTTTAAAATTTCCAAGTCTGTGTATTATAAACTAAGAAGCTCTAGTGATTTAGTCTGTAGGGAGCTATGCCGCTGACCCAAAGCCTCTATCTCTAGTAGTTTGACTCCGTCAGTGACTCTGTGGGTTAGACATGATCAGTCTCATGTAATTTACAGCCCCAGAAACCCAATATAGGGTCAGCTGTGAGTCAGTCCCAACTGCACAGCAATGAATTGTTTGTTGTTGGGGTATTTTTAGTTCTTTTTTTACCAAATTATGGTAATTTATTGCTTTGTGCTCCATGGAGTTGACGCCAACACAGTGACCCCAGGTATAATCAGATTGAAACCTTGCCTGAGCGCGTGCCATCCTTATAGTCTCCACCTTGTCTAAGCCCATTGTTGCAGTCACTGTGACAGTCCATCTTTTCTCTCCTTTTCTGACCCTCCCATCTTTCCAAGACTGATATCCTCTTCCAAGCACTGACTCCTGTTGATAACATGAATTGCAATAATTCACTCACTCATTCATTACCATTGGTTCCTTCTCATAACTAATTCTCCAGCTGGTTTCCAAGGCTATAAATCTCAGGGGAGGAGACTGAGGGAAGTGCAGCCTTTGGGTTAGCTGCACAGCTATGAACTCTGCTATCAGAATCAGAACTTTCTGATGATGTTGTTGTGTGCCAATCCATGACTGACCTTTCAGTGAGTTTTCAGAGGCACTAAATCTCATGGATTGAGATTGTCCACCCTTCCCGTGGAGCAGCTGATGGATTCGAACTGCCTGCCTTTGAGTTGGCAGCGCAGCTCTTTGCCACTAAGTCACCAGATATGTAATCAGATATGGCAAAGTATAATTTTTTCCTAATTAGAATATAATCATGGTTATTACAGAGATGAATCCAAGATCAGTACAAATTATTACTGCCTTTGACTGCCAACCAAAAGATTAGAAGCTTGAATCTAAAAGTGACTTGAAAGAAAATGGTGGTCAACTTGAGAAAAAGCAACCATTTTAAATTCTTTTTAAAAATTAATTTTAATGAAAGTTTACAGAGACTTAGGGTTTCTAGTCATTCATTGTTGCACTTTTCTCCCTGTCCACCCCCTCCCCCACAATTCACTCTTCTTGAAAAGTAAAAGAAAAACTCTTTGGCATAATAAGAATTGTAGACTTACACTATACCTAGGAGTCAGCCTGAGGTGAAATTATAGTGTCTTCTCAAGAATTCCTAACCATGTGTTTTACCCTAGGCTTATATGTGGCTTTCTTAATTCTACCAATATGGTTCTTTTGAATGCCCTGATTTCCTACAGAAGCTTTCCCTGGCATCTGTTTCCAGTCATTAAAAAAAGATAAAGAAACAAAACCAACTTAAACTCATTGTTATTTAGTTGGAACTGACTCATAGCTGACCCTCCATTGAATTTCCAAGGCTGTAAATTACTTGGGAGATTTCTCATCTTTTCCCTCAGAGCTGCACAGGGATTCGAACTACCAGAGAGTAATTGCCTTTGGTTAAGCAGTTCAACTCCCTATGGACCTTTAATATGTCTTGTACTCTTCAGCCCCAGATGGCTACATGAAGTTATAACCTTTGTGTATTGTTGCTGTCCTTTATCCTGCATGTTCTCTAAGACAGGCTAGATGGAGAAAAGTGCTTCACTTTTAGTCTTTAGGCAGCCCCCAGAAAAGTTACAACAGGTACCCACAATACTTGGAGCATAAAGCCTGTTTTGCTTTATCTAGAGCCAAACACCAGTCAAGTTCCCTGCTGGGAGTGGGAGCTGCCACAGCTTTTAGTTGGTGCCAAGTCAGAACATGAGCCACAGCATGTAGAAAATGAAAGCTTTCCACCCTTTTTGACATTACCTATTTATTTTTTAATTGTAGCAAATACATAGACACCACAAAAGTTCCATTTCAATCATTTTGTCATTTCAACCATTTTCATGTACATAGTTCAGAGATGTTCATGCTCAACCATGATTATTATCCAGTCAGTCATTCCTAAGTGATGTATTTTCATTTTTCCCTCTCCTGGGAGCGACTAATAAACTTTGATCTCTTTGTGTTTGTTTACTCTAGACATAAAAGGACAACCATATCATATTTCTCTTTTTGTAAGTTACTTATTTCACTTAGAAGTCTTTAGAGTTTATCTGTATTTCAGCATCTGTCAGTACTTCTCTTATGGCTGAGTAATATTCCATTGTAGGCGTGTATAACATTTTGTTTATCCAGTCATCTCCTGGTGCACATTTATGTTGGTGCTACTTGTTGACTGTTGTGAATAGTGCTGCAGTGAACACTGTGTACAACTATCTGTTTATGTTTTTGCTTTCAGTTCTTTTGGGTATTAAACCTAGGCGTAGAATTATTGGGTCATATGGTAAGAAGCTCTTATGGTAGTGGGCTAAGTGTTGGGCTGCTGTTCAGAGATTGACAGTTCGAATCCCCCAGCTACTTCACTGAAGAAAGATGATGCAGTTTGTTCCCATAGAGATTTACAACCTTGGAAACCCTGTGGGAACAGTTCTGCTTTGTTTTGTAGGGAATCAGATTGCCAACAGTGGTCATGGTAGTTTCCAGTTTAACTTTTGAGGAACTGCCAACCTGTTCTTCATGAAGACTTCAATTTTGCAGTCCCATCAGCAATGTATGAGGGATGTAATTTCTTCACATCTTAGTGAACATCTATTCTTTCCTGCTTTTATGGTAACTTTGTAAGGGGATAGGAATGTGGAACTATTGAAAATAGCTTGTTCCAGATGTCCAAGTTAAACCTAAATTTCCTAAAAGGATTGCAGGTCTCATGGGTCATAAAGTTATGATAGACATTGTATATCTCTTGGTAGTTGAAGTCTTATAATCTCCTTCACAAGATTGTAAAATATGGAAAAGTAACAGCATGATTAGATTTGAACCTCAGAAAACCTCATAGCTGATCTCCTCTGGGTTTCAGACTGTAAATTGCATGGGAGGAGATTGCCCCATGGGAGAGAGTCTTTCTCCGTCAGAAGCACTGGTGGATTCAGACTGTTGGAGGGGGACACCTCTGGGTTAACAGTACAACTTCCTACCACCTAGGCCACTAGAGTACCCTTTGATAGAAAAGGATATGATAAGTAATGTGAATGTGGGGTTATAGTCTCAACATTATCATACCACTTTAAACTTGATCATTCAAAGTTACTTTTGTCAGATTTCACCATCTTGTGCAGCAAGAGATTACAAGGTTGTGCTCTTAATCTTCACAGTTTTATTTTATAATAGAAAATGTCTAAGAGTATTTGGAAACTGTGCTTGTCATGCAGTTTACAAATTAAAGTTTGAAATGTTAGTCAGTTTGCTTGAAAATATACTCAAGATCTTAAAAGATTTGCATGAACTGACACAATGGCCAAATTAAAAGAGATTAACATTTTTAAGAGGGATGTTTATTGCCTCAGTATAAACTGGGGAATATTTACCTGTTAACAAGAGTGGATGTTGTTCTAATAGATAGATAGTAGTCAACTAAAAAACTACTGCAATCGGTGTTTAAATTAATAGAATAATCTAGGTCCAAATAAATTAGTTTTGAGGTTAAGCCTTCTTGAATGATTGCATTTAACTTCTGAATGATTGTATTGGTTGCAGAAGAGTTTCAGAAAAGAGTGAGCAGGATAGTGTAAGAATTTGAATGTGGTATGTCAACAGTCTGATAAAGGAGGTGCTTATAAAGTGGACTGGGGAAAGAACAGGGAGGGAGGAAAACATGCAACAATGAATGAATGAAAACCCAACCTTTCTGTAAGCTTTCATTAAAATCACAATAAAAAAAGAATTTGAATATGGAGCAATGATTAAAGAAATTGGGCATATTGAACTTGGGCTAGCTGTATATATGAAACCTGTTCCTATTAGTTTTCCATTCAATAGTTTATATAGTAAATGTACTCATTTTAAGAAGATTTAATTTAGGATTAAATATGCTTTTGAACTTGAGTGTATTTTACTTTCTTTCTTTGTAGATTCTGTCAAAATCTCAATTGCCATCAGCAAGCAAAGAAGGTAAAGTGTTGTGGACTGGTTGGTTCTGCTGTATATTTGGAGACACTCTTTTAGAGACTGTTACAGAAGATTTCACTTGTCTTCCCTTATTCCTTGTAAATGGAGCAGAGTCGAATACAGCCTTAATTGGAACCTGGTTTCAGAAAACTTTTGACTGCTACTTCAGCCCCTTATCTATTAGTGCCTTTAATCTTTCCTGGATGGCTGCTATGTGGACTGCATGCAAAATGGATCATTACATGGCTACTACTGAATTTCTTTGGTCTGTACCCTGTAGTCCTCAAAGTCTGGATATTTCTTATGCCATTCATCCAGAGGATGCAAAAGCTTTGTGGGATAGTATCCATAAAACCCCTGATGAAGTTACCCAAGAAGAAGTTGACTTATTCATGGACTGCCTTTATTCACATTTCCATAGACATTTCAGAATTCATTTATCAGCCACAAGACTGGTTCGTGTTTCAACATCTGTAGCTTCAGCACATACTGATGGAAAAATAAAGGTTAGTTTGAACACTTACATCTAGTTAAATACTTTCCCTTATTGTTGCATAGTTTTCAAAATGATAATTGAATTTCCACGATAAACATTTAAATGTGTACTGCCTTGAAACATTAGTGATTTTCTTTTATGCTTTACAAAATGTACTAAAAAAACAGTGCTTTTGTTTTCACTATTGTAAGCTCATTTTCTTGCACATAGTAGGTGTTTCAAACAGTTTGAAGCAATTTTCCAAATTGTTCTTGAATATTGCTGTTAGATGCTGTTGTCATTTCCAACTTACAGTGATTATAATAGCTTGCTTCTCAATGGAATGAAAATATATGTTGTGTGCTGTAGATTGGTAATAATAGAATTTATTACTCTGTAATAATTATTGAAACTTTTAAATGTCTTTCTTGATCACTTTTTCAGTAATTACTAGAGTAACAGAAGATTTTTGGTAGGTTAGAAAAGACAAAGCCAGAAAGATAGACCTAGAACATCATTTTTTATAATTTAGTCTTTTCTATCCTGCCAGGAAAGAAATAATAGAGATGTTGCTGTGCCTTCTACTGAGTGTTTATCACAAGAAGGATTAGAAGTAGAGTTAGCACCCACATGGTACCAAATTGTCAGTGCATGTTTCCCGCAGTGGTCTTGTCACTGTATTCAGGATTTAATGTACCCTACTTCAAATCTCTAGAACAACCTGGCCACACAAATAATACACTTTCTACATTTATTTGCCAATAGCTCTCTACCCCCTTTGGGAATATTTTTTGTAAGTATCACTTAAAACAATTTTTTTAAAAACACTGGCACTGTTAAGGGGACTTGCAGGGAGGGACTGTATAACAATGAAAGAATTTTTCTTTTACTTTTCAAAGAGGAGAGCAAACTGGGGGGAGGGGTGGGAAGGGAGAAAAGTGCAACAATGAATGAATGGAAATCCAAAGTCTCTGTAAATTTTATTTAAAATTAATAATAAAACAAAAAACTGACACTGTAATAGTTACATAAATGCTTCTCTTCTGGAGAGAGTGGTTGGCAAACAAACATAGAAGGTATGTGGTATTTGTGTAAAACTATGGGTAGATATTTTAATCTATATTTTGTTTTTTCATAGTTGTAAAAATATAGATATTTTTCTCATTCCAACATTTTTCACAATTCAGTAATGCCGATTATACCAGCCATTTTGTGAAATTATTACTAAGATATGTTGACAAAAGAATTTATTTTTAAAATGAGGAAATTGCAGCCATGAAAGATTTAGGTAACATATATAAAATAGCCTAATAAAAAAGCATTATCAATATTTGACTCTCGTCTGTTAGGTTTCAGTAATTTCATAGTAGTGATTTCCCTATTGGAGTTTGTAATTCAATGGTAGGTTGGGAAATAATTATAATGGGAAGAGATAAGCATTAAAAACAAAAAGGAATGAAATAAAATAGAAAATATGAAAAAAATTATTTTGCACATGATAAAGGTACACATTTGTATACACTGAGTTATGATATTTTATGTTTTCTTAGTAGAGATTATAGTTAAAAGTTTCCCAATCTATACTATACCATACCATTCATCAAATTTGCTGTAATGAGGTAATCTTGGGTTTGCTGTGATGCTGAACCTTGTGCCATTGGGGTATCAAATACTGGATACTAGGTTCCAATAATGCCATGTTTTATTAAGTATTAATTTGTGCAAGGCACTAATAAGCACTTAACACATAACAAACTATTTACATAAGAGGAAGGTGAAACCTAGAGCAGAGAGGTACCTTCCCTAATATCACACAGCTAGTAAGAGCCATCAGAATTTGTTCTCCATCATCTGATTCAAATCACTTTTAACTTCAACACTCCACCTCTCAAAAAGCTTGAAATTAATGACATTAGCCAATTTCTGAAGGAACTCTAGTTGTCTATTAGTAAGAAGCTGCACTGCAACTCAAAGGCATGCATTAGAATCCATCAACTTCTCCAGGGAAGAAGGATGGACATTCTCCTCCTGTGCAATTAACTGCCTCTGAAAACTCGCTGGAGGGTCAGCTATAGGCTGATTCCAACTCAGTGGCACACAACCACAACATCCAGTGTCTGACAGTTACATAGCTTTTTAAAGGTACTTATTGGAATTAGATGCCATTGGAAAAGGTGAATACTCAGATTTTCATAAAGGACCAAGAATTCCTAGATACTCCTTCCTTATTCCACCTGGGGCAGATGTTAGTTGGTCCATAGAACCCTAATCTTCATTCTTTTTAAAGCCCATTAACGAACAGTTGTAAATTTATTAAAGTGGTAGTCTTCATACAGTAAAATAATTTTTACTTTGAGCAGTGTTTTGGATTCATATTCATATATATGTAGATATGAGATTTAAATTAGCCTGGAATATTTATCAAGTCACTTTTCCCATTTTCCATTGTCAAGGGTTCTGGTTTTGGTCCCTGATTAGTTTGAACACGCCAACAGACCACACTGGAGGCCATGTTTAGTAACATGCTGTTTAATAAGCACCTATGTTGTAGGTGAACTGATGCCAGAAATGGCATCAGTACTGTTAGAGGACAGAGCAGGAGTTTTAATCCCTCTGATCTTGGCTGAAAGCAGAGAATACTGAAGGAATGTCTGTATTTCATTGTCTGTGCAAAGGTGTTTGACTGTGTGGATCACAACAAACTGTGGCGAACTCTGAGAAGAATGGGGATGCCAGAACACTTGATTGTGTTTATGTGAAACCTATACCTAGACCAGGAGGCATTTATCAGAAAAGAGCAGGGAAAAACTGCATGGTTCAAAATTGGGAGGGGTGTACTCCAGGGATACATCCTATCTCCATACCTTTTCAGTCTATATACAGAACAGATCATCCAGGAGGCTGGGCTCTGTGAGGAGGAATGTGGCAATCAAGATTGGGGGAAGACTCATCAACAACCAGCATTATGGAGATGACACAACTTTGCTTGCCAAAACTGAGGAGGACCTGAAGCATTTGCTGCAGAAGGTCAAGAACTGTTGCCTTCAATATGGATTGAGGCTCAATATCAAGAAAACAAAGGTTCTCACCACTGGGCCAACTGGCAGCATCATGATAGATGGTGAAGAGAATGAGATTGTTAACAGCTTCAGCTTGCTTGGCTCCACAATCAGCACTCTTGGGACCAGCAGCCAGGAAATCAAAAGGTGACTTGCACTGGGAAAATCTGCTGTCAGGGACCTCTCCTCAGTACTGAAGAGCAATTGAGAGTCTAGAGACAAGGTGTGCTTGATCCAGGGCTTGGTTTTCACAATTACTTGCTATGCATCAGAAAGCTGGACTGTAACTAAGGATGATAGAGAATTGATGAGCTGTGGTGCTGGAGTATTGAATATACCATGGACTGCTAGGAGAACAAACAGATTTGTCTTGGAGAGAGTGAAACGACAGTGCTCCTTGGAGGCAAGGATTCTGAAGCTCCATCTGACATACTTTGAACATGCAAGGAGGGACCAGTCCTTGGAGAGGGACATTATCCCTGAGAGGGTGGAGGGACACAGCACAGGAGAGGAAGATCCTCGATGAAATGGATTGACTGAGTGGATAGGGTAATGGGGGTAGATATGTTCAGAGACTATGAGGTTGGCTCAAGACAGCTGTTACAGGGTTGCTATGAGTCCCAAGCGATTTGATGACACATAACAATAAGAAGTCAAGAGGAAATGTCACTTTGTCCAGTGGCTATGTGTTACTTAGGCCCATCTTCCAGCCAGCCCTCTGCATTCTTCCATTATCTGTTGGCTCAAGCTGCTGACACAAGTGGTCCTGTGCCTGGGGCTGGGCATTAGAAGAGGAGGAGTAATTAATTCATCTCCATCAGGCTTTCAAGCCTGAGGAAAAGCTTACACATTTATGTTTAAATTTGAAACTAAATGCATATAGATTCCCTAAACGTAGTGTTAGAAAATTTTATAAGAATATTGCATTTAGTTTAGTTAGAGCTAGCTTAATGTCTAAATTGCAACAACTGGGCCATTGTTAATGTGGATCACTCAAAATCAAGTTGCCTTGTTCTCATAATTAATTGTATTCTATTTTATTTTCTTTCAGATTCTGTGTCATAAATACTTTATTGGAGTGTTGGCATATTTGACAGAACTGGCAGTTTTTCAAGTTGAGTGAGGTATTGAATGGACTGTAAGAATTGAATACTCTTTCTCACTAATTGCCATGCAGAGAAGTGGGCATCTGTTCTGCACCTGTTTTCCTCAAGGCTCTTTTGGAGTAGCAGAGATGGAAGTCAAGAAGGATCCAGAAGAATATAGATGTGGAGATGAGCCTGGTCCTTGTATGCTAGTTGGCTTGATCTGGTATGCCAGCCTATTTTAAATGCTAAGTTGCACAGCTGTTGGTTATACTTTTCTCTTTCAGCATACAGACTGTTTACTCTCAGCCCTTCAGGAATCAAATGAGATATCTCTAATTTTAGCTATTTGTGGGATGGGATATCTCTAGTATTTAACTATAGAGAACTGGCAATCAGAATCCCCTCTAAGGGAAATAATAATATTTTTCTTTTTTCAGCCACTAATCTGCTTCTATTTTTTAAAGCTGTTCTTAATTGTAATATTGAATTAAATATTCCTTTTTAAAATGAAGTATTGTGCTTATAAAGCTCCTTGCTAATGTTTGTTGTTAAGTACTGTCAAGTCGGAGCTGACCCTCCAGAGGGTTTTCTGAGGTAGTAAACTGCATGGGAGGAGACTGCCCCTATTTTCACCTGTGGAACATCTGTTGAATTCTAATCATGGGCAGTCAGGTTAGCAGTTCAACTCTTTACCATTAAGCCACCAGCACTCCCTAATGACTCAGGAATGTACCAATGAGCCCTGGTGGTAAAACAGTTATGCAGTCAACTGCTGATTAAAGGTGACAGTTAGAACTGACCTGGCACCTCTGGGAGAAAGACCTGGTGTTAACTTTTACATAAAGATTACAGCCTGGAGGACCCTGTTAGAACAGTCTTCTCTGTTACTGTGAGTGGGAATGGACTTCCAACAAAACTCCCATGGCATTGCTCTGAAACACAAACAACTTGATGGCAGTTAAAAAAAAAGAAATGGTAGATTTTTTTCCTTAAAGTTTACAAACCAACATTTATAATATGACAAATTATAGTATTGAACAGTCCTAGTGAACCCCTTTTGGGGGCAGAAATGGTCTTGTCTTACCCTAGTTGTTCAGTGTTGCATTTGGTACCAACAAGTTGGCCACAATTCTTAGTGCCCCAGTGAACAACAGAATAAAATGTTGCCCAGTCCTGCAGCATCCTCACAAACTGAATCATGCTCAGTTATATTGTTGTAGTCACTGTGCTAAACCATCTTGTGGAGGGTCTTTCACTGACCTTCCACTTTGCCCCTCATAATGTCTTTTTTTCCCTAAGACTGGCACTTCCTGACAACATTCTCAAAGCATGTGAGATAAAGTTTCACTATCCTTCCCTCTTAAGGAGCATTCTGGCTGCACTTCCCTCAAGACATATTTATTCTTTTGCAGTTCATAGTATATTCAGTACTCTTCAATAGGAGCACAGTTCTAAGGTATTAATTCTTTAGTTCTCTTCTCCTTCATTTACCCCACTTTCACATGCATATGTACTACCTGAAAATATTCCATTGTGGGCTAGGAGCACCATAGTCTTTAAGCTAACAGCCTTGCTCTTTAACACATTTAAGAGGTCCTTGACAGCACATTTGCCCAATGCACTACATTGATTTTTTTTTGACTGGTGCTTCCATGCATGTTGATTATGAATTAAGTAAAATTGATTGACAAGTCATTTCTCTTTCTATCATGATGCCTCTTGATGATTCAGTGGTGAGGTATTTTCTTGATGTTGAGATGTAATCCATATTAAAGCTTGGGGTCTTTGATCTTCTGTAGTAAGTGCTTCAAATCTTCACCTTGTGCAAGCAAGGTAATATCATCTGCATAATGTTGGTTGATGATTCTTTCTCCAGGTCTCATGCTGCATTTTTGTTCAGATAGTTCAGCTTGTCAAATGCTTTGCTCAGCAAATAGACTGAATAGGTATGAAGAAAGGCTACATCCTTGATGCACACTTTTTCTGATTGTAAACCATGTAGTATCCCCTTAAACTGCTCAGATGTGCCACTTGATCTATATATATATAGTATTTGCATGAGTGTAATTTAAGTGTTCTTGAATTACCATTCTCCTTGTAGTCCATAATGTATTATGATACACACAGTTGAATACCTTTGCATAGTCAATTAAACACAAGTAAACATCTATCTGGTATTCTCTACCTTCAGCCAAGGTCTGTCTGACATCACCATTGATATCCCTTGTTCCACACCTTCTGAATCTAGCTGAATTTCTGACAGTTTGTTCTTGATAGAGTATTGTAGCCATCTTGGAATAACTTTTCAGCAGAATTTCCTTTTTTAAATACTTTTATTGGTTTTCATACAATAATTAGTTTACATTGCGTTTGATGTACATTATTGTGTTTTCTACAATCTTTCATTTACATTGTGTTTCATTTCAGCAGGATTTTCTTGGTGGTGGTCTTAATGATATTGTTCAATTATTTTTGCATTCTATTGGATCAGTTTTGGAATGAAAATAAATATGGATCTCTTCCAATCAGTTACCAGGTTATCTCGGAAATTTCTTGTGTTTGTGTGTGTCCAGATATTTTGAGTGAAGGTTTATCAATCATTGGATTTTCCTACAATCATAAACTTTTTTTCCCCTTTTCTTGGTAGTTTTATTTTTAGTAAGCATTACATAACACAGACTTCTATAGTAGTGCTAGGTGACTGTTGTTTTTTCACTAACAGGAAGAATGCTTCTTTAGTCAATGTTCTCCAAACCCTTTGATACACAGTAGCGATTCACCCCAGAGATCCTCCTATCTCTTTCCATCAAACACCACTGGTATGGAAAATGAGCAGCCCTTTTCTCCTTGCCACTGTTGGTGAACTTTTGGATGTTCGCGGTGGCTACTCCCGGAATGAACAAACACACTGCCATGACGGCGAGTCCAGGGAGAATCTCGTACCACATCGTGACAGAACCTTCTCCCAAGTCCACCGAAAGGTGACCCTCATTTTGTTTTTTTAACATTAGTTGCCATTGATTAATGTCATTAATTACTGACAATGCCTAATAATTGTATTGCATTTCCCTTTATCCAACATATGTTTTACTCTCCCTCCCTTCCCACCTGTTTCCTGCTAAGGTTTGAGTCTTTCTTTGTAAATCTTTAGCTTTCTGTAGTGGTCCTGTACCATAATTATCTTTATGACTTTTGCCACACAGTATAATTTGTTTAATCAGTGTTGTGCAGTATTTCACAAAGTCTTAATAGTTTTTTAGTGAAGTATAATACTCCATAGTGTGAATATCCTATAGTTTTCTTCAGCCATTTTTCTGTTGATGGACAGTTGGGTTGTTATCAACCCTTTGCTATTATAAATAATTCTGCAATAAATAAGGTGCTGTGTGTGTTAGTTTGTGTCACCATTCTTATTTCTTTGGAATATATACTTAGGAGTGGGAATGCTGGATTAAATGGTATTTCTTTTCCCACTTTCCCTCATTTTTGTCACCAGGGCCTTCCAGTCACCAATTGTTACTGTATCTTTATTGCATATTCAGTAAGTTTCAGAGTAAGGCTCATACCTAAACCCTCTCCCATCCTGTGCCATCCTTATCATCTCTGATATACCTGATCCCATAGCTGCAGCCACTATGTTAGTCCATCTCACTGTGGATCCTCCTCTCTTTTGCTCGCCTTCTACCTTTCCAATCATTATGTCCCATTCCAAGGAATAGCCTCTTCTAACAACAACATGCTCAAAGCATCCTTGTCTCTAGGGAGCACTCTGGTGGCACTTTCGCCAAGACATAGATGTTTCTTCTTTTGGAAGCCCATGGGACAGTCAGCACTCTTCTCCAGGCACGACAACTCAAAGGCATTAATCTTTCTTCCGTTATCCTTTTTCACTGTTCAGCTCTCAGATGTATTGCAGGTAATTGAAATGACCATGGCACCCTATTCTTTATGCAGACAGCATTGCTTGTTAGTACTTTGGAGAGGTCCCTGACAGCAGATTTTCCTAGTGAAAATCTTTTGATTTCTTGACTGCTGGTACCAGTGGTGTTCATTGTGGATCCAAGCAAGATGAAATCACTGAAATGGGTTGTTGTTTTGTGCCACTGAATTGACTGCCACTTGTAGCAACCCTATCCTAAGCTAATCTCACTGTCTCAGACACACCTACCACCAGTCACTGTCAATCTGTCTCATCCAGTGTCGGTCTTTCCTGTACTGTCTTCCACCCTTCCAAGCATGATGTCTTTCTTCAAGGACTGGTCCCTTCTAGGAACATGCCAAAAGTATGTCAGAGCTTCAAAATCCTTGTCTCCAAGGAGCAGCTTGGTTTCATCCTCTCTAGGACAGACCTGTTTGTTCTCTTGGACAGACCTGTTTGTTCTCTTGGCAGTTCAATACTGTCCTACAAGCTGCTCCTTGGAGACACACACAGAGCAACTGATGGATTCACACCACGTGCTTTTGGGTTGGTAGTGCAACTCCTTACTGCTAAACCACCAGAACTCCCCTAATGTTTTTACCATGTTGTTGTCAGGTATACTAATTGTAGATCCACATAAGACAAGATAAAGTTGTTAAGAGTTTTAATCTTTTCACCTATCATGATGTTATCACCTATTGGGCAATGAGAATTGTTGCTTTCCTAACATGGAGAAGCAGTCTATATTGAAGGCTGCAGTGTTTGATCTTCTGCAGCAAGTGCTCAAAGTTCTCACTTTTGACAAGCAAATTTGTGTCATCTCCTTAATGAGGTTATTGATGAGTCTTCCTCCAATTCTGATGCCACATTCTTCTTCATAGAGTCCACCTTATAAAAAAATTTGCATAGCATACAGATTGAATAGGTATGGACAAAGGTCAGAATCTTGTCACATACCTTTCTTAATTTTAAACCATGTAGTATTCCCTTGCTGTTTGCACAATAGCTTCTTGGTCAAGGTGTAGGTTTTGTATGAGCACAATTAAGTGTTCCAGGATTACCATTTTTCTCAATGTTAGCTATAATTTGTTACAGTCCACATAGTCAAATGCCTTTTCATAGTTAATAAAGCACAGACAGACATTCTTCTGATCTTCTTTGCTTTTAGTCAGGTTTCTTATGACATTAGCAATGATATCCCTGGCACAATGGCCTTTTCTAACTCCAGCTTGAATGTCTAGCAGTTTTCTATGTACTCTCCTAGCTGGTTTGAATGATCTTCAGCATTTTGTTTACATTTAATATTACAAATATTGTTTGGTAATTTCCATATTCTGTTGGATCACTTTTCTTGGGAATGGGAACAAATGTGGATCTCTTCCAGACTGTTGGCCAGACAGCTGTCCTCCAGATTTCCTGGCATAGACTGGTGGGTTTCCTCTGTCATTTGATACATGTCAGTCGGTGCTCATTGATTCCTGGGGCCTTATATTTTGCCAGTGCCGTCAGTGCAGCTTGAACTTCTTTACCTTTGGCTCTTGATTGTATGGTACTTTCAGTATCCACATACTCTTTTTGTTACAGTGATTCTCTGCTTTCCCTCCTCCTTTTGATGTTTACTGAATCACTCAAGATTTTGCTCACAGCACCTTTCAGTATTGCAACTCAAGGCTTTAATTTGGTTTTTCAGTTCCTTCAGCTTAAGAAACAAAATGTAGAATGAGTTCTTCCCCTTTTATTCTCCAATTCTAGGTCTCTGCACCATCCATTATATTACTTTGCTTTTTTTCCCTCAAGCTGCCCTTTGCAATCTTCTGTTTAGCTTTTTTACTACAGCATCTTTTCCCTTTGTTTTGTATTACCAAGGCTCTTGCAGTTTTCAAGGTCTCTTCTGACATCTGTTTTGGTTTTCTTCTTCTTCCTCTAACTTTGCAGTGACCTCTTGCTCTCCTCATGAATGATATCCTTGATATCATCCCACAACTCATTTGATCTTCAGTCATTTGATATTCAGTGCTTCAAGCCTATTTTTAAGATGATTTTTAAATTCAGGTGAGATAGACTCGAGATCCTATTTTGGTTCTTGTGGACTTGTTTTCATTTTCTTCAGCTTCAATTTGAACTTAGCCTGTTCTACAGTCACCATGCCTGGTTTTGACTGATAATATTGAACTTCTCCAGTGATTCTTTCTATGCATTTAGTCAGTCTGATTCCTGTGCAGTCCATCTGGTGAGGTCCATGTGTAAAGTTGTGTTTTTTTTTAAAGGGTATTTATGATAAATCATTGAATGTACAAAATTTGATGAGTCTGTTTTCGGCCTCATATCCATTCCAAAGTCTATTCTTTCCAACGACCCTTCCTTCCTCATTGTTTTCAACTTTTGCATTGATTATCATTAACATATCTTAATCTCATGTTTGGTCAGTTTTAGACTGCAAAATTTTATAAAAATCTTCAATTTCTTCATCTTTATCTTAGTTGTTGCATATATTTAAATAAAACTCTTAACAGGTTTTTGCTGTTATGTGTATGGGTAATACTGTACCACTCAAAACATTGTACTTAAGGATGTTGTTGTTTGCCCTTGAGTTAGAACTGACCCTGCAGCAGGTTTTCAGAGGCATTTAATCACACAGGAGGAGACTGCTTCGGTGGTGCAGCAGGTGGAGTCAAACCATGTGCCTTCGGGATTGCAGCACAGCTTCTTACCACTGGGCCACAGAACTTAGAACTGTCTTTTTCACTATGAATGCAGCATTCCTGGCATAGGAATTCCATGTGACTGTCTGATTTAAAGTGGCCAAAGCCAGTCCATCTTATCTCACTGATGCCTAGAATGGCAATGTTTGTGCATTCCATTTCATTTCTCACAACTTCTAGTTTCATTAACATTTATACTTCATATATTCTATCTTCCAACTATTAAAGGATATCTGCAGCTATTTCTTCTCATTTTGATCAACATCCTTTCTCGGCTCTTCCTCTAATGCAATAACTATCCATGTTACTGTGTGTTCATAGGGTTTTCAGAGCACTGATATTTCAGAAGTGGATGGCCAGTCCTGCTTCCTAGTTTGTCTTAATCTGGGAATGCTACTAAAATCTGTCCACCATGGGTGACCCCTCTGGCATCTGACACACTAGCAACACAGCACCTACAGATTACCTCAGTACAGCAAGCTGGTAAGTGGTGTACTAGTGATTAGAATAATGATAAATAAGCAAGAATACGTATACCCAAGCTACAAAGTAATTAGCAATAAGCAGGTCATTTTCCCAAAATAACCATTTGACAAGTAAGTCTCACAGTTTAGGAGGTTTCAAGTCTGAATCCCAGGTACCAGCTGAAGGCAAGGCTTTCTGTGGTGGTTCTGAAGGAAGTTATGCTGCAGAAAGTCCATCCATAATGTTCTGTCTACCAGCTGGGTAGCCACTTGGCTGCTCACAATAAAGACCACCTTTCCCAGCCTTCCTCAAAGGTAAATATAATTGTGTGCCTGTTTTGACCCTAATGATAGAAATAGAAGTGTAATATATATTCTTCCATGGACCTTAAAAGTAGCTGCCATGAATGCCTTCCCCCATTCTTTTGTCCATTTTTGCTGCCTGGAACACTGATAAAATGACTCCACCTTAGATTATGGGGACAAATCTAGCAGGAGGCAGAACAGGGTATGGGAAGAATGTGTGTTTTCAGGACTTCCTGAAATGTTCCTTGTTTATGGTTTCTTCATCATCATCTTATTGTCGCGTCAGAACTGGTTCATTGCTAACTCCAGCAGGTTTCTAAGGTTGTAAATGACACAGAGATTGATAATCTTCTCCACTCTGAGCTTCCAGAGAGGTGTAGCCTTTCATTTAGTGGTGCAACTCCCTACAGACTATGCCACCAGTTCTCCCTGTTTCTAGTTTGGAAACTTATAAATGCTACATACAATTATAAAATGAAATTAGAGCTAAAAGAAAATAAATCTAAAAACAGAAACCAAATATACCTACCTATGTTAGGCTCATAGCATAATCACACAAATAATATTTTCAGTTTCTTTAAGTTGTAGTTATTTTGACTACACATTCTTACCCACTACCTCACCGCCATCCAGTTGAGTCTAACTCAGTAACCTTGTAGGAAAGAGGAGACCTTCCCTATGAGGTTATTGAGGCCATGGAAGCCTACTTCTTCATTTTCCTCCCACACTGGCTACTGGGTTTTGAACCGCAGATCATGTGGCTAACGTCAAGTATTTTAACCACTATGTCACAAGGGCTCTTTATACACTTTTAGTGGACTTTAAAAAGAAGTATGAGCCAAAAATTTTTTTTGGTAAATACTACCTTTATTTTAAAAAGTTATACATGCTAGAAAAAAGCATAAATGATAAATGTAAACAGTTGTTTACAAATATTTTTTTTCCTTGTAAAGGTGCAAATGATCTTTAAATGTAAACACAAAAATTGCCAAACTTTTTTTTACAGGTAGAGAGGAGAAGGTTATTCCTTTGTTTGCAATTAAAATCTCAAGTCATTTTCCTGCAAAATACTCTGGAAAAAAACAAAACTAATTTGTGAACACATTGAGGGAAAAAACCTAAAAACATTTATGCACTGAATTTCTATTTTTCCTTAAAACTTTTAACTCTTCACCAGAAAGTGCAATTTGAAGGAATTAGTAGGAGTGGCCTTGTAGAATGAAGACAATGATATATAATTTGAATGACAGAATCAAAATGCTAATAAAATGCCTGTGTTGGCTTTACACTCATTAAAATGAACTAACTAAAGAATTCATTCCTTTGGATGCTCTTATTAATGGTAAGCTCCTGCTTCACCAGGCCTAACCATCAAGTGTAAAAACTTGTATGACAATATCTATTCACTGAGGAGAGGAGAACATCTCTCCCCGCTGGTCCTTGGAAATTTGCTTCAGTTGGTAATGTTTTGAACAGAAACTCTTGTAGAGTTGCATATAAACCTTGTGAATGATTCTTAAGATAGCAAGTGTCTTTTTTAGAAGCACTGAGCAGAGCTCTAGATCCAGCAGAAACTATGAATATTATGAAAAAAAGATTAAATATAGCAGAAAACAATCATGTCACAAAAGGAAACAAGACTCAAACATCCACTTATGAAAAACTGAAACACTGAGTTACAATTTTACTTAGTGTTTCTTTTGCATTGTATTATTGTAAATGAGACTTTAAAAAAGATTTCCAAGTATTCTGGTGCTCTTAAGAATGAGGCGAGGCAATACATTTTGTGTATCTACCTTTGTCATTGATAAACCTTTTAAAGAAGAGGATTTCTGTGGGTGGAGGGCCTAGATGTGACAACTTAGATCATACCTAATAACCCTTCTCCTCTTAGCAATATTTTCAAATGCAATCAATACCTTAAAAATTTAGTTCTGCTGCTTGGAATTTCTTATTTTTCTTTTTTTTTTCTTGGTAGGAAGAAGGTTAAGTACAAAAAAAGTACATGATAAGTTAAAATAAAAAATAAATATTCTTCAGAGCTGAAAATTATTGTGCAAAGGTGGCATCTTGCAGGTGAAGTAGTTTCATTGGATTTGTATTTCCATATGTTGAGGCACCGGCAAAGAGTAAAATTGTAATGTTTTCTTGAAATGTACAAAGCTCCAAAGTCAAGACTCTCCAGAATACAGGTGCATAAGCATGACCGACTTGATGTTTACCATATGTGGGACTCACAATGTGTCATTTTAATAACTCCGACGCCACCCCCTAGTCGACGATAATTCATCCCGCCATATAACCTGCAAGGAAAAAAAGCAGCAGCAGATCTTCTAAGTGGAAAGAGCAATTCTTTTCATTAACTAAGAGTTTATGTAACACATGCTTTTACACCTTGTGTCACTACTAGTTTTTTCAACTTGACACACATCTAAATATGAGAAATTGGAACTGAGTCTGGTTAAGTTGCAGAATTATTTCAGACATTGCTTATCTCCCATATGGGAGACTATCTGAAGAAAACATAGTGATCTCTCAATATCTTCAGGAACTTAATGACTGTTCTAAAAACTTGTTGCCACTAAATTGATGCTGTCTGATAGCAACCCTCCAGGACAGAACTGCTCGCGGGGTTTCCAGGCTGTCGTCTTCACAGAAGTGCCTTAACCACTGTGCACATCTCATGAATATTACTTACCATGTTCATGTAATTCTTGAGGATAAGTTGTTAAAGAGATTACCTGGTCATCTATAACTGACTGTTTAGTGACACTAAAAACCCCTCACATTGGACTATAATAATTAAGTGGCAGAACTAAATTCTGCTTATTTTCCAAATGTTGTTGTTGTTGTTGTTATGTGCCTTCGAGTCGTTTGCGACTCATAGCGACCCTATGTACAACAGCCCTAAACCGTGCTCTATCCTGTGCCAATCTCATTGCCTCTGACACACCCATCCCAATTACCCCAGTCACTGAATCAATCCACCTCATAGAGGGTCTTCCCCTCCTGCACTGTCCCTCTACTCTACCCAGCATGATGTCCCTCTCTAAAGACCTGTCTCTCCTTACAACATCATCAGAGAGTTGGACAATGACTAGGGAGGATAGAAGGAAAATTGACGCCTTTGAGCTGTGGTGCTGGAGAAGAGTATTGAATGTACCATGGACTGCCAAGAAAACAAACAGATTCATCCTAGAGAGGGTTAAACCAGGCTACTCCTTGGAGGCAAGGATTCTGGGGCTTCGTCTGACATACTTCGGACATTTTCCAAATAAAATTCTAATAAAGAACTGAGTGGAAAAAATACCACCCAAGTGGAAGATTCATTAAACCATTATCTTCATTTATTAAGCTATTATGTGTCACTTAGCTCTATTCAGTTTTGTTAGTGATCTTCCCTGATCACCTTTAAAACTGACTTACCCCCCTGTAGTTCTTATTCTCCCTTGCTTTGCTATTCATCAGAGCACTTCCACCCTCTGGATAGTACTGCCTATCTCCCTCACTGCAGCTGACTCCACGAGGGTAGGGGATTTTTTTTTTTTAAGTTTGGTATTCTTAAGAAGCCCTGGTGATACAGTAAATTATGTGTTGCATTGTTGACTGAAAGGTTGGCAGTTTGAAGCCACCAGCTTCTCCATAGGGGAAAGATAAGGCAGTCTCATTCAGCAAAGATTTACAGTGCGGGAGGTCTGATGGAGGGTCACCATGAGGTGGAATCAACAAGAAGGCAGAGCAGGCTTGGGGTAGCACTCCCAGTAAATCTTTACTGACTTCACAGGACTGTGAAAATGTGATGAAGGAGGGAAAAGTATTGTGATCACTGAGCAAAATAGAACCATCACAATGTCCGGAATAATAATGAAAAAAAAAGCCATGTAAATAGTGAAGGCCTTCCTAGAGATGAATACTTAGTTTATTCATTATATTCAGAGAGTATTTAAAAAAAAACACCCAATGAGCCCCAAGCCAAAATCCTAGGTGGGTAGCTGGAGGCTCAAAATGAGGAAATATTGGACTACTGCATGTCCCTTTTGAAACTGTTATTGTTCCTTGCCTCAAGTTGCAACCAAATCAAAGTTGACCCTCCTGTGGGATTTTAGAGGCTATAAATTATATGGGAAGAGACTGCCCATCTTTCTCCAGTGAAGCAGCTGGGGATTTGAACTGCATGCCTTTGGGTTGGCAGTACAACTACTTGTGTATCTTCTAGTTGGAACCAACCTGTAGCTGAACCTCCAGCACGTTTTCAGAGGCAGTTAATTGCAAGGGAGGAGAATAATGCCCATCTTTCTCCCACAGAGCAGCTGATGGATTTTGTACCACATGCCTTCTGGATTGCAGCACAGCTTCCTACCACGTAGGTCACCAGAGCTCTCAGCACTAGGCTACACTGACCCTAAAATAGGGCCCTGCTTACCGTTTATGGTCATAAAACCTCCCAGAATGTCTGTTACTCTAGAGCTCATGGTTTTGATACCAATAATCCTAAACTTGTTCAATAAAGCAACTAGAGCAAAATTTGCTGTGAAGGAAATCCCGAATTGCTTTGGAAAGCAAAATTATTTTCTTAGAAGACTTAGAATTAAAGAAGGGAATATATCAAACCTGTAGCATTAATATTCTGTATTATATTTTAGTATTAACTATTTAGCATTTTAATCTCTGCTAAATAAAAGCATTGGGCATATCTAAGTGTTAGTCTTAAAAGTCCAGTATAAAATATGTCATTGACTGATTATTTAGAATTATGAGCTCAAAGATTTTGAGATTTTTGCTAAGTTCCTAAGTCAGGAGACTTACGAGAATTTATAATGCATTGCTATGTAATGTACATAGGATTTAATAGACAAGAATTTAAAAGCAAAGTAGAATTTAACCTATAAATGCAGCCCTCTCCAAAAATGACTTAAAACTGATTAGATTTTAAGTAGAATGGTAATACATTTAATTTTAAAAAAACTCTGGAGACAAACGTTTTAAAATTAAGCAAAAGTCAGAAAAATTGCACTGATAGATTGAGAGTCAAAACCTTACGTTCTAACACTGTTAACTACTATTCATTTGCTCAGCCATTTTATTTCAATGCCATGGTCTCAGCTGAATATGACAGAGCTAGAGAGTGTGTCTGTTTCTTGAAGTTCTAATTTTGTAAGGTATCTCTCACTTTATAGCAATGAAGTCCAAACTGAGCCATCAAATATGGATAACCTTACGCTGTAAGTAAGATGATCTGTAACACTGCTTAAAGTTTACCTCCATGTATTGGCATCAGGATCAAAAACTTCAATGGTCTTCAAGTATGTTGTGCCATCAAAACCTCCTACTGCCATGAGTTGTCCATTCACCACCGCCAGGCCCACCTATAAGAACAAAACACAGTGGCTGTTGGAAAAACGAAAATTACTGGGAAAGTTTAGACTAGTTTCTGGTTAAGAATGTTTCATAAAAAGAGAATTCTTTATGGCTTATGTGAACATGGAGGGGAAAAAAAGTAATGACACAAAAGTACTAAATTATGGAAGCTTTAAATTATATACTGAAGTATAACATTTACAGACGTTTCCAAAATAGATTATTACTTAAATTTTAGGAAAATAATTCTAAAGATCCTCTAAACTGCTTTCACTTCTTTCAATTCATATTCTAATCTACTCTAAATTTCTAGTATTCTCTTTTGGAAATAATAATGCTGTCATTTTTTTTTCTTACAAACTTTCTAAAGCTTCCCAAGAGACTCAGTATAAGCTTCAAGTCCTTAGACTATTCAGGCCCTCTTGCCCTCAGTGGGGGAAAAATCCATCTTAGCCAACTATTCTGGCCTCCCCTCCTTCATTTCCCCCCCTTTTCCACCTAAGCTCTTTGCTGTGATATGCTGAAATAACTGCTAGACACTGTCAGAACCATGCACTTGTTCATGCCACCATACTTCTGCACAGGTCCTTAGGTGTTACAATGGTTTGCACTTTACTAACTCACCCAAAAGTACTCTGAAAGACAGATATGCTTCTAAAATGTCCCAGGCTTGAAAACTATGGATAGTTGTACAGAGCTCTCGGTGCTTATTTTTTGAAGCTCTGAATCTCAGCAGTTGGGCAAGCAGGAAGTACTCACTCCACTTCGGCGTGATGTCATAGCCACCACTGGAGACCACTGGTTGGTCCTGGGGTTGTATCTCTCAGCACTGCTAAGCTCTGTAGTGTCATCTCTGCCTCCTACGGCATAGATCATGTCCTGATACACTGCACAGCCCAGGTGTTTCCTCCGGGTCCCCATAGGGGCTATAGTATGCCATCTGTTTTCCTGAGGATTGTATCTCTCCACTGTAGAGAAAAAAACTAGTGAGTGACCTTTCAATCTGAACAGCACACCACATACATTCTCACAAAGGATTGGTTTCTTTCAGGTTGGTATGGTGGAATCAAGACACATCTATGTTCTAGTTCTGGCTACAGCACGAATTAGGCAGGTGACCCCAGCCCCACTCTTATCTTGAAAGAAACAATATCAGAACTTTTAGCACCTTTCATTATTAATGATTTATTATCACAATCAACTTCTGTGCTTATCCTCTGTCTTAAAAAACAACAACAACAACAAAAACACCCAACCACAAAAAAAGGGCTGGGCAGGGAGAAAAGTGCAACAATGAATGAATGGAAATCCAAAATATCTGTAAATGTTCATTAAAATTAATAAAATAAAAACCCCACAAACCAACCAAACAAAAACACTCAAAAACCAACCCTGCACTTTAAACCATTGAAAAAGACCAGACAAGATATAAGAATGATGCTAGCTAGAGCCACATTTATAATATCCTTTGGCAAAAATACTCATCCCAAAATAAAAACAATTAACAAATAAATCAATTTCTAGTTAAAATTTATTTTGGTATTATATAGAGGGATGCTGTGTGTATGTGTGTGTGTGTGTGTTATGGTTCTCTTTAAGGAGAAGTAAGGGTGAAAGGGAAATAACATGCAAAAAATTAGTCCTTTTTATTCCTTAGAAATTTTCAGTTGTTTGCAGCATAGGAGAAACCTATTTGGGGACTGTACTAGAACATTAAGGCTAAGGAAGAAGTTGAGGAAGAGGTGTACTCTCCTATAGGGAAAAGAAAATGTTTTTCTACCAAGTTATAGAATAACCTGGCCTCTATCCTATTCATAGAGGAACTAAAGGATATATAAGGAACTATGGTGGCCCAGTGGCAAGAGAAGTTGTGCTGCAATCCCGGAAGCATTTGGCTTGAGGTCAGCAGCTGCTCTGCAGGAAAAGGAAGGGCTATCTCCTCCCGTGCAATTAACTGTCTCTGAAAACCTGCTGGAGAGTCAGCTATGGGTTGATTCTGACTCTACGGTACTCAACAACAACTACAACAAAGGATAAATGCTAGTTAGGGGTAACCAGATTGACTGAGGGAAGGGACTAACCTGTATTGAGTGGAGATGTCCCATCAGAACCACCTACAGCATATAAAAATCCTCCTAATACAGCCACAGCAACGCCTAATCTTCTAGTGCTCATAGAAGCCACACGAGTCCACTTGTTCTCCTTTGGATCATATCTATAGTAGGAGAAATGAAAGACTGTTGGCATGTTTTGAAGAAGTAAAGCTTTTTCATAAGGTCTAAAATCAATATCCTGGCTACACTGACTTGTATACATACTGAGAATATCATTTGCTTGGTTATTAGGAAAAAATACATTTAAGATTTGTGCCTATACATTATTGAGCTATGTTCCACACCGAACTACAAACAACACTGCTCCTTTGCCATCTGTTTCTTGTTAGATTAAAAGATGGACGAGACTGAAAGTCTGAGCGTGAGAAAAGGGACTTGTTCCTTTCTGTTTATTTACCATTCTTGTTAATGTGGTCCTAGCAACTGTTGTTCACCCTGACAATTTCATTTTATTTTAGTTTTAAGTCTTTGACATTCCCAGAACTGGCCTCACACTTTCCTCATAAAGGTATATGACACCTCTTCTAACCTCCTAAGCTACCAATATACTGCTACATAACAAATCACCCCAAAACTCAATGACTTAAACAACAATAATTTTTGTTTATATGGCTCAAGAAGGACGTCACTGAACAGTGCTGGCTCAGGTCCCTTGTATGTTTGCAGTGAATGGTGGCTGCAGGTGGAACAGCAGAGGTAAAGCAGCTGGGACTGACTGCACAGCTCTCTCTTGGTCTTTCCATGGAGCCTAGTTTGGACTTGCTCACATTATGGGCAACCCATGACAGTTCATCATGTAGGTTGTTGATGAATCTTCCCCGGTCTTGATGCCATATTCCTCTTCATACAGCCTAGCCTCCCAGACAATCTGTTCTGCATAGAGATTATTAAAAAGGTATGGAGATGGGGCACATCCCTGGTGTACATACTTCCCAATTTTGATCCATGCAGTGTTCCCTTGCTCTGTTCTGACAACTGCCTCCTGGACCAAGTATAGGCTTCGCATAAGCACTAACAAGGGTTCTGGGATTCCCATTCTTCTCACAGTCTGCCACAGTTTGTTGTGATCCACACAGTCAAATGCCTTTGCATAGTCAATGAAGTACAGACAGACATTCCTCTGGTACTCTTTGCTTTCAGCCAAAATCCATCCGACATTAGATATAATATCCCTAGTACCCTGGCCTCTTCTAAACCCAGCCTACACTTCAGGTAGTTCTCTGTTGATGTGCTGTCCAGTAGTTTTTGTATAATCTTCAGCAAAATCTTGTTTGCATGTGATATCAATGATCGCTAATTTCCACACTCTGTTGGGCCACCTTTCTTTGGAATGGGAATGAATATAGATCTTTTCCAGTCAGTTGGCCAGGTGGTTGTCCTCCAGATTTCTTGGCACAACCTGGTGAGCACATCCAGGGCAGCGTCTCCTGAAATATGTCAGTTGGTTATGCCATCAATTCCTGGGGCCTTGTTTTTTGCCAATTCTCTCAGAGCAGCTTGAACTTCTTACTTCATCACCAAAGGCTCTTGCTCATATGTTGTTTCATGAAATTGTTCTGTGTCTGCCAATTCCTTTTGGTAAAATGATTCTGTATACCTTCCATCTTCTTTTAATGCTTCCTGGATCATTTAATATTCTGCCCAAATCATCCTTTAGTATTGCAATTAGAAGCTTGAATTTGTTTTTCAGTTCCTTCAGTTTAAGCAATGCTGAGTGAGTTTAGTCCCTTTGATTTTCTGACTCCAGCTCTTTGCACATTTCATTGTAATACTTTGTCTTTCCACGCTGCCCTTTGGAATCTTCTGTTCAACTCCTTAATATCTAGATTTCTTCCCTTTGTGTTGGCTTCTCAGTGCTCTACTGCAATATTCTGAGTTTCTTCTGACATCTATCTTGGTCTTTTCTTCATCCTGTCTTGGCAATGACCTTTTGCATTCTTCCTGGATGGTATTCTTGATATCCTCCCACAGCTCATCTGGTCTTTTCTCATTAGTGTTCAAGGCCTCAAACCTTTTCCTGAGATGGTTTTGAAATTCAGGTGGGACAGACTCAAGGTCAAATTTTGGTTCCCGTGGATTTGAATACCCTTAGAAAATGAGAACTGAGGCTCAAATGGAGACCTGAACAGATGTCCAGCCAAAAATGAATTGGTTGAGAAATTGTGGTACATTAATACAGTGGAATACTATGCAGCACACAGGAGCAATGATTTTGTAAATTACTACCTAACTTGGAAGGGGCTGGAGAGAATTATGCTGAGTGAACTCAGCCTCACAAGGACAAACAATTAGTGTGAGAATCCATGGGAGGGGGAGGGTGGAAGCAGAGGGTTGGGGGGCTGTTAATCACAGGGTTGCACAATTTGATGGGTGAGTGGAGTGAAGGAAATGGAAAGGTTCTTTTGTGAAAAACAATGTATTAAAACGTTGTAAATAAATCAGTATAAAATTAAAAAAATATATCCTTGGGATGTGGAGAGGGGAGAACTCTCAAATACTGTTGGTGGGATTGTAAAAAGGTGCAACCACTCTGGGAGACAGTTTGGCATTTCCTCAAAATGTTGAGCATAGAAACAGGTATTCCACTACTAGGATTATACCCCAGGGAAATTGGAACTGAGACACAAACTGAGATTTGTACACCAATAGTCTTAGCAGCCTTATTTATCATCACAAGAACATGTAAACAGCCCAAATGTCCAACCACAACCAAATGGATTGAGAGGTTGTGGTATATTCACACAATGGAACACTATGCAGCACTTAGGAGCAACGATTTTGAAAAATACTACGTTACTTGGGAGAGGCTGGAGAGCTTTATGCTGAGTGAACTCAGTCTCATGAGGACAAATACTGCATAAGACCATTACTGTAAAAACAGAAGGATAAATAGTAAAACACGTACAGGAACTCAAGGTGGGGGTACAGGGGGAACAGAGGGGTGAGGATAGGTAAGGGTGAAACCACAGGCTGCACAGTTTGGTGGGTGGAATGAGGGGGTGAAGGAAATGGGAAGGATCCAGCAGAGACCTGAAAAGACAGGGTAATGATGGGCAAGGTCCAACTGTGATTGATTTTATGAAACAATGCATGAGAATGATTATATGAAACAATGTGAATGAAGAATAGTGTGAAACAAAATGTATATAAACTTTTTAAGCAAACCAATTAAGAAAAAAAGTAAAACAGAATGTATATGAATGATTATATGAAACAATTACATGAATGAAACATAATGTAAAGGAATTATATGAAAACCAATTAAAAATATATATGAGATTTATATCCTTGGAAACCTGATAGAGGGCTGGCACGAAGTGGAACAAGCTTGAGGGCCTGGGAGTCTGGGTATTTTTTGGCTCATTTCCCTGCTCCTCCCCACCCCTCATCTGGTATGATTTTAACGCATTTAAAGTGACTAGTTTTTTCCTCTTCTGAGGGGCTGTATTTCTGATGTGCTTTTATGGTGTCTAGAGATGTTATTCTACTTTTTGTTCTCTTTTATGAAATAGGACCTTTGCATAGGATATAGTCTCAATATTCTATCATTATTCATGCTTATATTAAATTAATTTTTCTGAAATTTTAAAGCGATTTATGGTATTTTTTTCAAATACTGTAGAGCACCTAGTTGGTTTTTAAAATGTACTATCTATTCTTTCATGACCAAATTATATCCTGCTTTGAATTTTTTTGTTGATACCATGTGCTTTGAGTAATGGAGCCATATTGAAAACAAGGGGGAAAATATTGTAGTAACATGTATTTTGATGCAATTATGCCACATATATCCCAAATGGACTCTAATGATAGGATTGGCAAAGTGAGGATTGTTTCTTCAGATTCACACAGTTATTGAGCAGATCAAATAGCAGCATGTACTACAGTTGTGACAGAGGTGGGCAATATATTTCCCATGGGTCAGGAGAGGGTTAAACATAATGGTTTGCTTCCTGAGATTTATTAGCTTTATTCAATGATAGTGCACGATTCAAAAATCAGGAAAGGAGTGCGTCAGGGATGCATCCTGTCTTCATATCTACTCAACCTATATGTGGAACAGATCATTTGGGACTTTATGAGATGAATGTGGCATCAGGATTGGAGAAGACTCATCAACAACCTTTATTATGCAGATGACGCAACCTTGCTTGGCAAAACAGAAGAGAACCTGAAGTGTTTGCTGTAGGTCAAGGACTTTGATATGGATTGAAGCTCAACATAAAAGAGACAAAGATTCTCACCACTGGGCCAAATGGCAGCACCATAATGGATGATGAGGAGACTGAGATTGTTAACAATTAGCTTGCTTGGTTCTACAATCAACAGTCTTGACACCAGCATTCAAGAAATCAAAAGACCAATGCACTGGGAAAGACTGCTGTCAGGGACCTCTCCAGTGTGCTAAAGAGCAATGATGTCAGTCTAGAGAGTAAGGTGCACCTGATCCACACCATGATCTTTGCATTTACTTGCTATGCATCAGAGAACTGGACAATTAATAAAGATGACAGAAGAAGAATTGATGCCTTTGAGTTGTGGTGCTGGAGAAGAGTATTGAACATACTGTGGGCTGCCAAGAGAACAAACAGGTTTGTCCTGAGAGGGTGAAATCTAGCTGCTCCTTGGAGGCAAGGACTGTGAAGCTCTGGATGACATATTTTGGGCATGTGGCCAAGAGGGCCCAGTCCTTGGAGAGGGGCATCATACTTGGAAAGGTGGAGGGACAGTTCAAGAGAGAAAGACTGAAGGAGATGGTGGAGAGACAGTGCAAAAGAGGACTCTGCAGGAGAAAATGAGATTAGTTCACAATATGGCAGAGTTCAGAGCTATTGTACATAGGGTCACTGTGAGTTGCAGGCAATTTGATGGCACATAACAGTAACCACCACCACAACCACCACCTTCTTTTTGGCCTGCTTTTTTCATGATATGTGTTGTCTGTGCCTTGCTCAATTTTTATTCTATTCATAATAGCTTTCCCTCAGGTTGGAAGCCATGTCTTGGAAGGGCATCCTGCTGGTCAATTTGTAGAGTGCCTGAGGACCGGATGACTCTGACCCAATTAGTTCTCAATGAATGGTGATTTTGATTCTTAGGG